TTGAAGGAAAGGTCTTTGATATTGATCAAAGATGAGCATTTTTATTTTTAGAGGTATGAAGGAAGATTCTTAAACAGATCTTCTCTGCTTAAGTATTAAGACCACGCAGGAATTGGTTCACTTGCTGAGCCGTATGGTGAACATATAAAGATAGTTGCAGATTGAGATCATGAGAATCATCAAATCAAATGCCATGGTATACACATGAGAAGTGTTCTTTAGATTTAATTTCTGAATAATAACAACAACAACAAACAAGACATATGACATGTTATGTTCACGTGCATATACTGTATGTCCAGGGCCCCGTCTTATATAGAGTTGCGATTGATCCAAGTCATTCGCAAGTCCTCCAATCAATCGAAAGTTTGCAGTCTTGTATCTCTAATTTAAACAATTGTGATTAATATCGATCCTTTATAAAAATATAGTTGTACGTCTTATGTTGACGTACCAGTGCTGGTTAAATTCGGGGAACACAGGAAGCGGTAGCAGAGTCACCAAGACTGTACTATTTCATTAATATTTAACCGGCTTACCACAACATGTAATTATGGCATGATAAAATTTTTTTTTATGGAGATGAAATTGTGTTTGTATAGTTATGATTCATGTATAAGTATTATTACTGGCATGACGGATAATACATGTATATCAATATTTACGGCTATGTGTTTGTGTGCTATCCTCCCAAATACATTTCGACTGTATGTCATATTTTGTCTCCAATAGTAAAAACTTATCAAAAGTATTTCATGGAAATTATAATTTTTTATATGGGGCTCTTAAACGTATGCCGATCAGAAGTCATATTGTTATTGTAGTTTTAAAATATGTTTCTCCGCATGCAGCTTAACTGCAAATACTCAAAAGTTACATGTAAATACCGGTACTGTCCATGTCTAAGTTACTTGTTTAGTAAATTCTTTAAATATAATGGAATTTATGAATTTCACTCACCTAAATATTATGTATTCACTGTACTCTGTTTATAAATATTTACTAAAGATAAACGTTTGGTTCCTGTATATTAATATAGGCCTACTCAATAATATATACATATATCTTTCTTCGAGTTATGCACTCAATAAATATTTTCCCCCTCTAATATTGCTATTATGCTATTATACTATGTGTGTAATAGGAAACTTATTTTGAATGAAGATATTGATTTTGTAATGATTTGATGAAGAAGATTGGGGGTACTATCGTATAATGGTATGATATTATCGGTTATAAGTAGGAGAAATGCAGTATTTATATACTATAATATGCATGTTTCTTTTATCTTTGGTAAGCTTATGTTACATTTGTAAAATGTTATTTCTTTTGTTACACCTTTCCTAATGTGTGGTTAAGCAGTAATATTCATAACCACACAGAGGACTCCGGATTTTGTGTCACATCTTTATTGTAATTAATTTGAATCCGAAGTAGAATGAAGTACAGTATGACTGTATAAAGATGATCAATATATGTATAGTGATGAGACAACTACAAACCATACTGTTTGAATATCAAATGTAAGATACACAATAAAGCTCAACCAACGCAATGCATGTAGGCATCGTACTTAGAATTGGTTTCGTATTGCATTTAGTGAAATCGAAAGAATGAAATAGATAGACAGAGAGAGAGAGAGAGAGAGAGAGACAGACAGAGAGAGACAGAGAGAATGTATTTGTATATTTCCGTGTATGTCAGATTTAACACTTTTTATTCAAGTTAGTAAAGATTAATATACATATACATGACGAAAGGGGCATTTTATTGCTGAACAGAATAATAACATGCGTGCTTTGCGTCCTGCAAAATAGAAAAGCGTTAATTTGATTTTTTTTTTTTTAATGATACTATTTCTATAATTACGCATATATTTGTTCAAATATGAGCATTATATTGGTGTCAATGGAACATACAATCTAAAATTTAGCATTCGTACAACGCTAAACACAACATTTAATGTCTTGATTGCTAATCCGATTAACTATAGAAAGAATTGTCGAAAGCTTTCATGTACATTACTTGTTTGTTTTCAAACGTTGCTATTTCACTTTTCAAGCATGGAATCAGGTTTAAAACTATCAAAAGAACTATGGTCAATTTGATATAAACTTTAAACATATCTCTCCTAATTTCTAAGACTTATTTTGAGGTCCGAGAGAGTTTTGAACCCGGGACAAAACTTTTAGATTTAAAACAAGACTATCATAAGAATTTTAAGTCCCTAAAAATACTTATAATTTAAGTCTAATAGATTTAACTTTTTAAGTCCAATAAAATTTTTTTGTAATGCATTGACAATAATATTAAGATATTTCATCAAAAAGCAAATGAAACTAACAAAAGTTAATAGCAATGAATTAGGTCATATTTCCAATTTATTTCATTAGCGCTTCAAAAAGTTTAAAAACTTACAAACGCATTCGATCTTATAATGCTTTTATTACCTTAATATTGTATAGTTACCAAAGTATACGACATTAATTTTGATCAATTATTGTTATGAGTAATTAAGTCGTCGAGATGTTCGAAAGTGTTCATTAATTTGATACTTAATGTGATTCCTCTTAACAGAATGCCTGGGGAAAAACAAGTGGCCATCAACCTCACAGAGAAGAAGAATATCTAAATTGGTACCTTGGTCATTAGCCATTACAAAAGCAGCTGTCTTGGGAATTGAATAGGAAACTGAAAATAAAGCTTTTTAATCGTTCATACAGATTCTGTTTCATCTAAAGCCCCAATCAGTGTGTTGTGTGTGTGTATGCGTGCATGTGCGTGTGTGTTGTGTGTGTATGTGTGCGTGTGCGTGCGTGTGTGCGCGCGCGTGTGTGTGTTTTTTTAAATATTTTGTATGTGTGTCTGTCTTACTGTTTTTGTTCAATGCACTGTTTTATTCCTCACCCAGCAACTTGGCGCAAGTGAGATCTGGCAGTCTTGTAAAGATTGTCTGATGTTCAGTCATGCATGCAAAGATTCAGATGAAAATGGTACCTAAATTTACTGGGAGGATAACTCTATCAAGATATATCATGAAACCCATGATTAAATATTCATACTTCAAAAAATACAACTTTTAAAAAGTGGGACATTTTTTTGACTCACTCTGTATATCATTTAATACTTTTAAAGCAAAGCGTGTTCGATACGAACATTGAAACCATACACAGCTCTACAGGAGTAAAAGATCTTCTTAGAAATTGATTAAATGAATAAATTCTAAAGATATTTTATTTTCAAAATTGCTTAGTATCCTGAAATTACCAACATTAACAGGATTAACGCCATATAAAACAAAGCTTTTCATATACACGTATTTGTTTGATTATATTCAGGATTCTAAAGTTTATTTCACAAAATGCAGGGAATCGTGGAACTGCCTAAAATATGAACACACACTAACAAAATATTAAATTTAAAAAAATACAACAAACAAGAAATATAGATATGCCTACCCATGAAACGAAACTGAATTTGAGAAGAATTTGCTCGAGAGTGGGTAAATATCAGCAGGGTGTCGAGAAAGTTCAACGTCAGGCTGCACGTTTTGTCACCAATAATTATGGATGGGACACCAGCGTTACCAAGCTACTCAACCAACTCAACTGGGGATCTCTTAAGGACAGAAGGGAAGCACACCGTCTTACCTGCCTCTTCCAAATGATCAAGGGACAACTCGACATCGACTACCAATCTCACACCAACCCTAAGCCAGACAGACGTAGACGAGGACACTCCAACCAATTTGAAATTCGCCACACCAACTCGGACGTCTATGCCAACTCATATTTCCCAAGGACTGTAAAGACATGGAACAACCTACAACAAGCAACCATCGACCAAACCTCCCCGCTCTCATTTAAAAATGCAGTTACTAAAGAACTTTTTTCCAAAATGTAATCGTCCACCCTCCCCCACCTCCAGTCAAAACTCTTCTTCTGAGTATTTAGGAGGAAAATAATCCAAGATCCAAGATCCAAGGTGGGGTTAGAACGAGAGGTCCGGGGAGAGAGGGAGAGATCGAGATCCACATCGAGAGAGAGAGAGAGAGAGAGAGAGAGAGAGAGAGGAGAGGGAGAGAGAGAGAGAGAGAGGGGGGGGGGGCAGGGGCGAGAGTAGTGGCGGAGAGTAGGGGTAGGCATATTCTGTCCGGTACGTGATATGAAAAGGTTATCTGAGATCTAGTGAGGATTTTTGTTTTCTTCTTCTTAATCTTTGTTGATGGAGATGCACTTTCAGAATTCGATTCAATAATCTTTTGATAGGTCTATCCATATTTCATAATATTTTCGTTTTTGTTTTAATGCATAATTAAGTCTACATGCAATGTACATGTAGGCCTACATGTATAAGGATGTGGGATAAACTGAAATTCAGTATTTGAAAGTTATATCACATAATTAAATTGTTATGAAAGTTAAATCATGTGTTTTAAATACATCATAATGCTATTTTGGGCGATTAGCAAAGCACTGGTCCCAGGAGTATTTTGAGTTAAAGAGAAAGTTGAGTTCTGGGAAGAGATGAAAAATAATTTGTGAGTGTTATCATTCTTATTATGCAAGTGTGGAAGAACATCAGATAAGACATGTTCCCTGAAAATCATGGCTCTTCAAATGCCTTCATATTCTAAATATGTCATGTAACATCGTAAAACTCGGGGGTGGGATTTTTACGCCACGTGTTCGTGTAATCCCACATACATCTTTCTGTGTACAGTGTTTGTAACTTTACCAAGACTTGGCAAATTTCTTATCATTTTGATGATTCCAGAGCCTTGCAATACACACAAATTCTTATATGCTAGATGATCAACCTTTCCTGGTCGATTCCACAACGTTTCTTTCACAATGCAATCGCATGACCAGAACTCAACTTCATAATACTTTATACACGTTCCCTGATAAAGAGACTGGCACTAAAAGACTACGACGATATGTAAACAAAAGCACGTTGCATGCATGGTGGTACGGAAACGTACTCGAAGCAGGTCAGTCAGTTCGATTGTTACGAAACAACAATTTGCATTATTACATAATTGCGCTGCGGACCGCACAAACATCACACATATCCATGAGTGGCCACGTACGAACCAGTCCACAAATATCATACTGAGAATCTGATGAGCTAGAGAAAGCTACATTGAAAGACGCCGATAAGAGACGTTAAAAAGAACTACAACTATTGGTAAGTTTAGAAACGGTATTGAACGATATTGTCACAGACCAGCTGAAGAAGATGTCGCCTGGCCCTTGTTGCCAGCGTATTTTTGTAAGTACGCCCACCGCAGCTCAGCGGTCCCGTGATTAGTGGCGTGCGGGTGAGGTGCCGTGAAATGACAAAACATTTGGAAAGAAGTCTTAAGTGCAGTCACTGCATGCACTGAATGTTCGATATTCATTACCACAAATTAACGGATATTCATTACCACAAATTAACGGATATTCATTACCACAAATTAACGGATATTCATTACCACAAATTAACGGCACTACGGCAGGCCCATTTTTTCTTAAATGTTTGCCATTTTGTAGCATGTATTTTAGTGAAATTTAGTCAGTAGATCTACTCATGAATACTTGTCACAGTTAGCAAAGACCTAAACCATATATTATCTAGACCAATTTTATTTTCTTTGTTATACTATTAGGGAGGCCAATGCCCAAATCTAACTTTTTAATTACGAATTTGTTTAAAATAAAACAAAGATTAAAAGAAAGCATTTTCTTTCAAATATCATACTGAGAATCTGATGAGCTAGAGAAAGCTACATTGAAAGACGCCGATAAGAGACGTTAAAAAAGAACTACAACTATTGCTAATTTTAGAAACGGTATTGAACGATATTGTCACAGACCAGCTGAAGAAGATGTCGCCTTGTTGCCAGCATATTTTTGTAAGTATGTCCACCGCAGCTCAGCGGCCCCGTGATTAGTGGCGTGCGCGTGAGGTGCCGTGAAATGACAAAACATTTGGAAAGAAGTCGTATGTGTACTTTTACAATACTGGGTAATGAAAGTGTGACATGAATGCTTAAAAATGAAACCCTCTAAAATCTGCCTAAATATGTTTCATTTTTAGAGAATGTTATTAATTGTGTATTTGCTGTGAAGTGAGACATAATTACCAACTTGAATAGTTGCTAACTGTTATAAAAATATGAATGACACATGCACTTCCATGGTCAGTTTAATCAAAAACCTTGGTGTCCACCATAACAACCGTTACACAAACTTTAAGAATAAATATTCTTACTTACATAATTATTATTATTGATTGATAGTGATACTGTATGTTCTCCTTGAAGAAGAAAATAACTTTAGAACAATTAACTTTTAATTGTTTTCATTTTTCGTGAGAATACACAATGCCATATAACATTCATCACCCAGTCCTCTAGGGTGGACACCAAAGGTTCATAATTTTTTTAAAAATATCTATTTGAATCAAAATTGAACAATTCAATGAATTTTATATACACAATGTGGAAAGCCTTTCTTGTGAAAGATTAGAAAGATTATAAATGAAGTTTTCTTAACAAAATTGTATTTTGTATTTTTCATATAACGCGTGTTATGAGTGGACACCAAAGAATTTTTAGAATTTCAAACATGCGCTGTTTTTTTAACTATTACATTTCAAGCTTCATCTTTTTTTAATTGATTTGATCCATGGAGTTCTTCCAAGAAATAAACTGGGAATTGTCAAAGTTGTTCATATAATGTGCATTCATCATGCAGAAGCACCAAATGGAACGCGTGTTTCATGGTGGACACCATGCATAACAACTGTTACAAGATGTGAAATATTGTGATTATGAAAAAACTTTGCCACGCAACCTAAGATTTTTAATGACATGAGCATAAATAGATTCAGCACTTACTACCAGACAATAATTGAACATCAAATAGTCATACAAATTTAGAGAATACCCATTACCAGGAACTAGGTTTTTTCATGTCACGTTTTGGTGTTCTAAATAGGGCAAAAAAATGGGTTTCACCTTACATAAAAATTTAAACCAGGGGTTTTGAAACACAACGTTATTTAAGTTATCTCCACTACATATCTGCATTAAGACATGGACAAAATTATCATCATAGAATACTCTTTTATTTTTATACTTGGATCTGAAATATCCATGGTGAAATCTCTCCAGTATCATAAAAATACACATATTCATTACCACAAATTAACGGCACTACGGCAGGCCCATTTTTGTCTCGCCTGCGTAGCAAAAAGCGAGACATAGGCGCCGCTTTTCCGGTGACGGCGGCGGCGACGGCGTCAACATCAAAAACTTAACCTAAGGTTAAGTTTTTGAATTTTTGATATAATTTTTAAAGTATAAGTTCTTAGTCAATGAAACTTTGACCATAGGGTAATCAAGTATCCCCAATCCTGTGAGTTGAATTTCAAATCACAAAGTCAAGGTCAAAGGTCATTTCAGGTCAACAGACTTGGACTATGTTGTAGCATCATCATCGAAAACTTAACCTAAGGTTAAGTTTTTGAATTTTTGATATAATTTCGAAAATATAAGTTCTTAGTCAATGAAACTTGGACTATAGGGTTATCAAGTCTCCCCAATCATGTGAGTAGAATTTCAGGTCACTAAGTTAAGGTCAAAGGCCATTTTAAGGTCAACAAACTTAGACTTTGTTGTGGCATCAACATTAAGATTTTCAAAATGCTTCTTCTTCGTTATTTTTCAACCGATTTTGATTCTGATTGTTTCATATGATAGGGCTAGGAGGGGATTTAAAATTTCTACACAGAATCGTGAAATTCATTATCTTTGCTAATTTATGCAAATTTATTCGAAATCACAAAAAAGGCTTCTTCTTCATTTCTCGACCGATTTTGATTTGGTTTGCTTTATATCGTAGAGCTAACTTTGGTACACTAAACTTCTACACAGAATTTTGAAATTGTTCTCCATTAATTAATTATGGTAATTTATGCAAATTTATTCCAAAATTAACAAAAATTGCTTCTTTTCCCTCATTTCTTGACCGATTTTGCCTTGTCTGTTAGAGCTAATTTTGGAACAATAAATTTCTACACAGAATCGTGAGATTTTGCTCCATTGATTATTTATGGTACTTTATGCAAATGAAATGAAATTATGTCCCTTCCAGGGCATCAAATTTCTATTTTTTGACCAGTTCAAAAGTGTACCACATAAAATTTACGATATTTGTTGTTGTGAGATGCGGATGAGCGCTATGTCATTGACGTTCTGGTTTATTATATTGAATTGCGTTATGCAGGCGAGACCGCCGAGAGCGTTTCCCTTGTTTCTTAAAGGGATCGTGTAGCAATGTTAAATCTGAGATACACGGCCCTACGTGTTATCAGTGTCTGTGATATGGTGTAATACTGAAGCCCTAAAAAAATTGCGCTTCAAAATGATCAAGAAGTGCCTCAAAAAAGTAAAAATCTTTGAGTGACCGGTTTTACCATACTCGTTTTCCCCAATAGACTGTAGTGTTATGAAAACCGTCAGGCGAACGGTTTTCAAAATTTGCAATTCCAATCATAAATATCTTGATAATCAGACAGGCGATCGGCTTGTAAAAGTCATGGGGTTCCTGACTGACCTAAAGGTTTATAATTATCATTGCATCATGAGCTAAATCCAGAATTTTTTTTCAGAATCTGAGACAAAGTTACCGGATCCCTTTAAATGTTTGCCATTTTGTAGCATGTATTTTAGTGAAATTTAGTCAGTACTCATGAATACTTGTTACAGTTAGCAAAGACCTGGATCTACACTGTAGTATCATCTTGACCAATTTTATTTTATTTGTTATACTATTAGGGAGGCCAATGCCCAAATCTAACTTTTTAATTACGAATTTGTTTAAAATAAAACAAAGACTAAAAGAAAGCATTTTTTTTCACTAAGACAACTCACCCATCTGCCTACTCCAGAATTTCCATAAAAAAGGAGATATCCAGCTCTTTTCTATGCCTTTCCTTCTACGCCTGGCCGTACGTAAGAGCCTTGAAACAATCAATTTCATGGTCCCAAAAATTACGTTGAGAATTAGACAGGCCCGAGGGAATAGGCGTGTCATCATGGTCATTTCCCGGACAACAAGTTAAAAACTTCGCGCGAAAGTACATTCATCATCACCGGCTAGTCTTGAATTAGTCACACACATCGACACAGTACTGTAGGCCAGGTACGGTAATTGCATGCAAGCTGCGATCGAGCCATTCTAGCCATGGCATGGAGGGTCAAAACATAATAGAGAGAAAGCTTGAAAACCACTCATTGTAAATTAAGAAAGTGATTGAAATAAATAAATAGGCCTACCTTGGTTTTAAGATGTATTCCAATTACTATTTCCTTATGAGTAAAGATCAATCTGACACTGCATTGTCAACGATCGATAAATCCAACTTGCACTATGTTTGATTCCGTATTGTGTTCGCTGCAAGTCACAGCGAACACAATACGGAATCAAACATAGTCAATAGGACTGCACGCATCTATGTGTACTGACGTTGACAGAGATATTTCTCTCCCTCTCTCTCTCTCTCTCACTAACCATATCATACACTAAAACACACACACGTTCAAATCAGGGTCCAGACAACCCGCCCCAAGACAACTCGCCACAATACCCTGGACATCTCGCCACAATACCCTGGACAACTTGCCTGCAGGGTGGGGTGCCTTTTCGGACAACTCGCCACACTTTTTTCCCCTCATGATTTCTAGATCTAAAATCCCTCATCTTAGATGAAATTGTCATTTTATGTATTCTTTAAACACAGTCATGACAGGAAACATGAGAATAACAACTAATACTAACATAATATTGAGCAAGAAATGCATACGTAATCATATTTAATGATAAAGCATACACTCTTTTCCTGCAAGATCGATGAAAATGTCAAAAAGAAACCGACGTTATTTTATTATTATTATTATAACTTATTATTATTAACATTAACAGGGTTAAGTCCGTATATTTTTCTTTGCTTTAACAAAAAGCACAAAGTATTTTCAGGTGCAACTTCATACTGTAGATGTCCAAGAGTCTTTCTTATCACTATCGGTCTCACTGTATACCCCCGGAGGGGGGAGGGGTACTCACATAGAAATAAACCAGATTTCAATTGTATTTTGCTGGGTCAAATAACCACCCCGGCCCCCCCCCCCCATCAGTACATCAGTGCTTCCAGTATCCTACCATTAAACAATTTCTGAGACAGAAAAATGCAGCTGTTACAGACCTCTAGATCTAAATACAGAGAAGTTATCCCAATGATCTGGCGATCGTATATGCCTTCGGTTTGTCAAAAATATATTATTGTTGCAAGGGAAATCAGCTTTATTCTTTATTCTTCGTAATGACTGTGTTTATAAAAGCACGAAAATCTCGAAAAATTACAATTTCATCTCAGATGAGGGATTTTAGGTCTAGAAATCATGAGGGGAAAAAAGTGTGGCGAGTTGTCCGAAAAGCACCCCACCCTGGACAACTCGCCTGTGGCGAGTTGTCCAGGGTATTGTGGCGAAATGTCCAGGGTATTGTGGCGGGTTGTCTTGGGGCGGGTTGTCTTTGTGGCGAGTTGTCTGGAATTCGTTCAAATCATGGCATTCATTACACTTCTCAATTGGAGTATAGACTGCTCACGTAGACTTTTTTTTTTTTACTGAAATGTCTTTTTTTACACTTCTCATACATTACTGCACAACACTGGTGTCTAGTGCTGAAATTTTTCTTTCTAAAATTGTTCTTTTTTTTTCTTCTGGTGACTTGGACGACGAGCGCACAAATCGTAGGCGTAAAAGCCTTACGCCCGGGCATTGGCCTCCCAATACTATCTTAATTCTTATCTTATTTTGCCTTTCGGCTAAAAGACAACATATATATTACAGCTATACCTAAACTATGTTACTCTTAAATAGCCTTGCGTAACTTATGTGTGCTGAGCTGAGTCTTGCGTAAGTTATGCGTGCTTAGCTGAGTCTTCATGCCGAAAAAACTCTGTTAACATGGTTCTAACAAATTCTAACTTTCATAATCGGTTCCAAATTCTGTCGTCTTTTTTAAAGTTGGCTGGATCATGTTCAGATATCACAGGCTATCTCAAACAAATTTAATGGGTTGGGCTTTACAGTGAATATAATCCATGTTATATCCTGCATCAAAAATTTGTTGGCTTTTGATTGGTAGAGAACTTGTCACATGACCAGAAATATTTGATCTATTTTTAGAAAGTACTATTTGAGAGTACTATTTTGATCAACTATTTGGGAGTTGAAAAAAAAATGTGATTTTTTTTTTTTTTTAATTGCATCAATTTTTTTTTTAAATCTTAATTTAATGAAAACAAAATATTTTAAATCTTTTTAGATCAAAATTGACATTTTTTTTGTTCTAAGTTTTTTTCTTCCAAAAAATGTTTTTTTTATATTTTTTTTTTTAAATAAATAAATTTGTGATGCAGGATATAAAACAAATATACCATGCCTTCTATTCGAGGTACTGGTTAAACTATGGGCCTCGGTGACTCCAAAAGTACCATTTGCTTCGGGGCTGCGCCCCTTAGCAAATACTACTATTGGAGTCACCTCTTGCGCATAGTTTTAACCAGAACCTCTCAAGGCAGTGTATAGTTGTATACTAACAACTTCTCATTACCAGGGTATTTAATTTATATTTTGCTGGGCCTACACTCCATCTGTTGCATTCATTTCAAGAGTGTAATTTGGACTTTTCTAAAGTTCATTACATGCATGATACATCATTTTATACAGTGAATGATGTTCTCTAGTAGAGTTTGTTTGATATTATCTCTCTTCCATTTTCTTTTCCAGCAAACAGATATACACCATGGAGACTAATTCAGATAACAGTACTGGTGGTCCATTTATCATTGATGAATACAACTTAGCCTTATGTGCCATTGTTACCGTGGCAATGCAGACATCTTTCTTCATTGTAGCAGCAACATGCAAATTTGACAAGGTCACAGATTTTGCTGGGGGAACCAACTTTGTCGTCTTAGCATTACTCTCATTCTTACTAGCTCAGGTAAATGCTAATTTAAAGGCAATGTCTTCCTCCTCAAACTAATTGAAGTCTTGCATAAAACATGAACTTGAAAATTAGTTCTGTCTTCATAATCTGTAGTAAAATTAAATGTTTTGGTAAGCTTTCGAATACCGTGCTGCAAGCTTCCCCAGACTTTTGTTGTAGCTGGTGCTGTTACAGGATACAGTTCAAAACACTTGGTCTGTCAATTATCCACTTGGAAATTGTTTGAGTGTTATAACATTAAGTGGTAGACAGGACTGGTTGGTGCAGATCATTTCTTGCCAAACAACTTGAAAACCAAAGCACTGACGTTTAATCCAACATACTTATTTACATAATTGCAATTTGCCTCCGAATTTTCTCTCAAGTAATGTTTTAATCTCTCATTCATCTTTTTCAGTATTTTCCATTATGAGAAAGTGGCAATAACAGAAATTGTTAATTATTGAAAGACAGATTTTATATAATAATAGGGATAACTCTGCATAACTGAAAATCACACAAATCAAATTTTTCCTATCAAAGTTGAATTGCATATACCGGTAACTGAAAGTCACACAAGTCAAATTTTCCCTATTAAAGTTGAATGAAAAATATAACAAGAAAAGAAACATGTTATTTACACTTCCTAAGTTGAATTTTGCATACTGGTAAGTCTAACTTTTTTTGTGCTCCAAATGGACTCGACTTCTGCAGAGTTTCACTGTATTTTCATTTTCCTCTTTCAGACGTATGGTGTGCGTCAGATAGTGGCGACTGTTCTGGTGTGCTTGTGGGGGATTCGTCTATCAGGATATCTCTTGTATAGGATCATCAAGATAGGCGAAGACAAACGATTTGATGACAAACGAGAGAATTGCCTCAAGTTTGCAGGTTTCTGGATATTCCAGGTGAGATCAAGGATCATGGTCAAGTCCAATAATTTAGTCTTGCATACATCATCAAGTATTGCAGAGTTTTAGATTGATATCAAATAAAAAAAAAAAATCTTGAATCTTGATAAAAGCTCTAGTAGGTCTGTTATCTTGATATCATGATCGGATTACTAAAATCGTAGATGTGGTCTCACTGGTCTATGACGTAGGGATCAAAATAGCTTGGACTTGCCCTCATGTAAACCAGATTATCGGCCTACTCACAGTGGGTCAGAAACCTTTACTCTGTCACAATGCAGAGCTTTATTGTAGGGCTGTGCATGGATCTATTTGATTTTGAATGATCAGAAATGCATACATGTACATTGTAGATTCAAGTTCAAACCAAATGTGCCAATAAGGTCTTTCATTGCATTTGGTCTCCCATACATCAACTATTGCAGAGTTTTCAGATCATATGTTAATATCAAATGTGTTTTGCACTTAGTATTTGGATTGATAAAAGCTCTAATAGGGCTCAGATTATCTTAATACAATGAGCAGATTACTAAAATCTTAGATTAGATGTGGTCTTTATACATCTAAGCTAGGTATAGCTTGCCAACAAGTGCGATATTTTTTCCAGGAGGTGTGATTTACATGACAGTTCTGTTTTTCTTTTATCCAAGAGACCCCATTTTTTTGTATCACTCTGTATTAAATTATTTATGTAAGGTTGATCTTTCTTCCTGCTACAGGCTGTATGGGTCTTCACTGTAAGTCTCCCACTCATCTTCATCAATGCTAAGAAATACAACGAGGGAACTACTTTTGAGGCCCTGGACTACGTAGGGACAGCCCTGTTCAGTCTTGGTCTAATTATCGAGACCATTGCTGACCAACAGAAGTTCAATTTCCGCAACGACCCAGCCAACAAAGGGAAATGGTGTCAAGCAGGTATTCCTTTCCTTGCTTTTGTTAAATGATAGAGATAATCTGTTTCTTCATGCTTTGCAGATTGAAATTTCATTGCCCCCACCCCAAGTCTTCTAGACACTGTCACCTCCCTAGTGATCTTATTTTTTTGCAGTTTAGATGAACAACAACTTAAAATTTCTTTTGATTAGTTTCCTTGAATATTCAAGAAAAGCAATAGGAGTGCAACCATGTCTTCATATATGTTTGCACCATGCTTGTACCATCTCGGCTAGATTTTCCATCCAAAATCAGACTAAATCTGTGATATCTTATGAAGTAGACGTCTACATGTACCAAAAACACTGATATAATTATATGAAAAATAATGTGAAAACAAGCTGTTGATGTCAAGAGGATGAAGTGAAAACCTAGCAATGACCATTTTAAACTAAAATTGTACAGTTTGAGTGAAATACTGAAAGTTCATCTCTGCAGGAAGTACTTCCTTCCTCTTTGAAGTAGATATTATGTAATCTTGAAAGATAGTCACCACTCACCAGGTCCATATCAAGAAGATAAATAAAACTTAAGATTCCTTCTGATATTGTTTTTACTTATCTGTTTTTCTCTCATTCCCCCTCCTTTTCCCAATTTCCTTTATGAATAACTTGCATCCAAAACTTGAAGTCCAATTCTAAAGCCTCTGTCCTTTAGAGTGGTGCTGTCTTATAGCAATATGTCTTGTTCAGTAAGAGGCATTATCTTTAAAGATAAAGACCAGTTATGGTCATGCGATTGCATTGTGAAAGAAACTAGCATATAAGTATTGGTGTGCACTGCAAGGTTCTGGAATCATCAAAATCATAAGAATTTTGGCCCAGTCTTCGTAAGGTTGCAAGCACTGTACACAGAAAGATGTACCGTATATGGGACTACGCACACGTGATATCTATCACGTCCAAATAGATAAACCAATTTACTAAATATATCAATTAGTAGGCGGTTTCCCGGCAAAATTGTTATCATCTTGTATGAGACAAAACATATTCTTTCACATGATTAGTAATAAGAGCTTCCATTTCATTTATTGAAAGGGGGGCGTTTCCAAAACTGGTCTTTACCTTAAATCTTTATACCTGTGTCTACAAACTTTCACCCTTATCAGATGAATTGGTTAAGATTTGGGGTAATATGGTCAAAGGTCACAGCGATAGCCAGAAAACAATTGGAGGCTAAAATTTCTCACATTTGCAATACAATTTTCTCCAGATATAAGAATTGCATTAAAATTGTTTTGTCAAAACTTAAGTGTTGACTAGCTTGCATTTAATTGCAACTGCATGTATAAAGAAACTGGCTGTAGTACGTACATGTACACAATCTGTAAATGAACAGTTTGGTCTCTTTCTTTGCCTCTCTGCATGGTCATTCATATAGACCCAAATTGTCAGTAGGATTGCTAGTGGCTTGTGCAACACAATGGCTTTGTAAAATTACAGATTCCAGGTCTTGATTAGCTCCATGACAACCCTCTTAAAGAGAAGGTTGAGTTCTGGGAAGAGGTGAAAAATAATTTGTGAACTTTATCATTCTTATTATGCAAGTGTGGAAGAACATCAGATAAGAAATGTTCCCTGAAAAGCATGGCTCTTTAAATGCCTTCATATTCTAAATATGTCATGTTCATCGTAAAACTTGGGGGGTAGGTTTTTTACGCCACGTGTTCGTGTAGTCCCATATACATCTTTCTGTGTACAGTGTTTGTAACTTTACCAAGACTTTGCCAAATTTCTTATCATTTTGATGATTCCAGAACCTTGCAATACACACAAATTCTTATATGCTAGATGATCAACCTTTTCTGGTCCATTCCACACCGTTTCTTTCACAATGAAATCGCATGACCAGAACTCAACTTCATCTTTAACACCGGTATAGATTGATCTTGCTCTGAAATAGTTATATAATCTTCAAGTATTTGGTATATCCATCCCATGATAAATACAATGTGTCACAGGATGATTATTTGTGTAGCACATAACAAGTTAAAGGCACAGTATTGTGGTTAACTAGTTGTTGTGACGTGTACCTGACATCCAGCTAACAATGGAAGTTACAAACTGATTCAGCCGAGGACGCAGGTTTGAAACTGAGTCACGTCTTTCAGATGGTGACATTTAAAGGTCGGTCCCCAGACGTAAATAGTCATATCTGATTGATACACGTCTGTAAAAAATCCCAAAACATACACATTGTTAACAAAATATTGAATAGCCATGAACAGTGTCAATGTTCTCTTTTCTGCAGGTTTGTGGAGCTGGTCTAGGCATCCAAACTACTTTGGTGAGATCATGCTATGGTGGGGTATGTTCATCATGAGCTGTAGTGTATTAACTGGTGTTGAATGGATTGCTGTATTAGGCCCTCTATTCATCTCGCTTATTCTACTAACCTTGAGTGGCATCCCCCTACTGGAAAAGAGTGCTGATGAAAGATATGGACAGTGAGTATCAACCTCCCAAATTCTTTTTTTTTGTGGGAGGAGGGGGGGGGGGTAGGAATGACTACTATAGACATGAAAAGAAAGTTTGTGGCAGTTTTGAACACTTTAAAAAAATTTCATAGGTCTCTCTTTTTTCTTTCTTTTTTGTGGAAATGCTCATGGCTCTCACTAAGTCACAATTTTTGTATTGCCATCCTATGCAATTTTTGGTAGTGAAAAAGATGAAACAGATTTGCATGTAATATTTATTTCGATTAAAGCAAACATAATAGCAAATTGTACTAATACTCTAAAACAAGGCTTTCAACAAAAGTTTGCAAATTGCAAAAAGTTCCATCCTACTAAGTATTTAGATCAGACATGGAGTTTATGAAATTAGCAAAGGTTCTTGATGCAAAGATGCTATTTAGAAATGCCATATCACAATATATGTCATTTAATTTCTTGTTTAATTTGTAGAATTCAGTTCCCATTGCGTCATGTTCCTACCCTGTACTACCCTGTTTAAATAGTTATTATTACATCTGAAATAGTGCATTGGTATACATTTTTATATATGAGACTAGCCTTATATCAAAAGAAGATGATTGCATATTAGAGTTGCAAGAAAAACAAAATTGTTGTGATATATGCATGATTTTATTGTTGGTTCACTTGTCATCTCCGCTCTTTAGTAATTATAATTTTTTATTTTATTTTCTTCTGTTTCTGAGGCACACAATAAAAAATAGATCATAAATAAGAGTCTGTATAAGTGTCATATTCTTGTGTCAAGCATTGCTAAAAAAGGTAGGATTTCAACCTGAAACTCTCTTATGATGCTGTAGCTTTTAACTGATGATAATTGATTGATAATATCTTTTTCCTGTTTCTGTTTTGTTTATGTCACGAACAGACTTGATTCCTACGTAATCTTCAAGAAATCAACCAGTCCATTACTCTTGTTTTGGCCACGCCTCTACCAGGTTCTGCCCTCAGCCGTCAAGTGTCTCTTCTGCTGTGAGTTTCCATTCTATAACAACATTGGTAAGACCTCTCCTGACCCTGAGGGCGCTACTCCCAATGAAGAGACGGAAATCGTTAGAGCTTGAATCAACTCAAAATGAATTTATTTTCATATTACATCTATGCAAGGTAGTGTGAGCAGTAAGGATGGAACCTAATGTGTACTTTCACATCCCTTAAGCTTATTATTTCTCTCTTTTTAGAAAAACATGGTCATAAAATATCATAAGTTTGAATTTTTTGAAATAGTTAGATTGGTCCCCACAAGTGAATTATTTCTATGGAAAAAAAGAAGAAAAAACAATGCTCAAAGAGGGTCAGAGGTGCTTTTTCTGCAGGACTAGAACATAAAAATATAGAAATGTAATATACACACAAACAGGTTTACTGAGTTGTCATTGGATTACTGATACATGGATCAAGGCCTCATTCAGATATGCTTTGGTATACTGCAGCGTGTTTTAAAATATTATAATCACATAACCTTGAACCTGGAAGAATTACTCTCCCAAAAGCGTGAACGCTGTCCTGGAGAGGGCTGTGCTGTGTTGCGTGCTGTTGGTGATGTGCTGTTGGTGAAGTGATGGTGGTTGTTCTCCGTGCACTATATACAATGTGCAGGGTGCAGTGTGCAGGTGGTGCAGGTGTGTACAGGTGTGTCACTCGTTACAACATCTTCAGGTTGTCCTGTTTCTGTTTTGTGAAATAGGCTCCACATTTCTGTACCTTATAACACAGAGCTCAGTGAATACACATCTGAGCTTTGTTGCGTGCAGTTGCCAATCACTTTCATGCTTTCTGGAGAAAAAAAAATCACTGCAGTTTATTGCTTCATACCTGAATGATCCTCTATAGATAATACAGGATTTTGACGTACATTAATAGTATAGAACATGTTAGAAGGTCAGTACATTAGATGTGTGTAGAAAAAATTGATTATATAAACCATTTACTTGATTTCATTCAATACAGCTCAATAAATGCTAGATATGATGTGCTTTAGATTAAATCATACATGGAGAGTTTGTCTTGAATACATTATTATTATTATTTGTATAAAATGTATTGCTTATGCACATATTGGTATGATATTAATAAATTGTTGATCCATAGAGTTGAATTGAATATCTCAGTTTTAGGGAGAAACTTATGACATTACCAAAATCGTATATGTACAGTTAACAACTAAATTGTTCATACCACTTGTAAATTTCATTTCATTTTTTTTTAAATTAATTTTTTTTTTTTTTTTTTTTTTTTTTTTTTTTTTGGGGGGGGGGGGGTGGTGTTTTTCGTAACTCAAGAATTAAATGAGGACTAGTGGAATTAGGGCCTTTGCTGAATACTTTTAGATTTAAGCTTTTATATGCCATATTCTCAAGAAACATGAATCAGGACAAATCAAATTTTCACACACTTCACAAATTACAAAATTTGGTAGGGATTTGAATCGTGTATTTGTTTGCTGCTGTATGTCCATAAGCTCATCTCCAAACATTGGGTATTGAAATGTGTACTTGTGAAATTTAACATTAACCCATAATGGGGAAGTAATGAAGATAATGGTCAGTGTTTGCAGTGAGTTAAAGATTGAAAAAAAATTTTTTTTGTGGGTTATGTGAAATTTGGGTCATGCAGTTAAGGATAAACTCGAGTTCTGGTAATGCGATTGCATTGTGAAAGAAAAGGTGTGAAATGGATCAGAAAAGTTGATCATATAGCATGTAAGTAATGGTGTGTAATGCAAGGTTCTGGAGTCATCAAAATCATCATAAATTTGGCAGAGTCTTGGTAAAGTAACAATCACTTTAATACACAGAAAGATGTATATGGGACAACACACATGGTGTCGGGGCTAGTACTACCCTGATTTCCTTATCTTTCTGTGCTCATTACTCAGCCAGTATACATTTTCTTCCAAAATTGTTTGGCACATGACATTTATTTGTAATCTTGAACATTCAGTGTAAGTTTTGTAAGATTCTGTGAGAATTCATTTTCTTTTTTTACCAGAACTCAAGTTTATCTTTAAGGGTACTGTTAAAGTTTTGAAAATACACCTGGGCTAATGGGAAGCATGATTATGTGCGAGTGTGAGAAATCACTCAAACTTGAATGTACTCCTTTTAATTACAAAAACAAATGAGTGAGTACAATGAATGAATGATTTGATTACAGAATTGGAGTATGGTATGAGAAATGTGTTTAGATTTATCCTCCAGTTATTATGATTAGTGATTTATTTAATTCCTTTGATTTCAGAATTGCTGTAATTTTTTATCGGTTAGATAGGTTGAAACTTGATCTGCTGTTAGAGTGTAATTAAATTTGGTTTTCTTTAAAGGATTGTAGTCTAGTTTCTAAGACACAAGATCAATAAAAAGCAGGACATCATTACTCGAAATCTTGGAACATTCATTTGTGAATACATCAAGTTGTGGTCGAGTGGATAAGTCGCCGACTGCAGGTCACAAGGTACGGGGGTAAAGTTCCGCTGCCAAGACGTTAATCTACATTTGCCACTCTCCACCCATGTGTAAATGGGATCCTGATATGCTTGAGCGCTAGTTACTTTGGCAGCTAGGCTACAACCAGGGTCATATGTGTACAGCGCCGTGAGCGTCAGAGCACGGTGGATACCGGCGCTTTATTAATATCCATATTATAATTATTATTATTTTATGAAATAAAATAACACAACATTTTAGGAAATACGCATTGCTTCAGCCCAAACTTGGTACGAGAGGAGTTTGATAAGAGGGTCAGTGCTATGTCATATATTTGTTTCTGTTGTATTTATTCTGGGGTAGATTAGATTGTACTTGTGTATTGGTTTCGTTATAAGTTATGCCGTAGGTTTATATCAGTCTCTTACAATGCACAACTATGTAGAATCTCAGGGATCATTTCCGTGGCAGCCTCGTCTGTTATTGTTAATGACTTTTGAATGTTATGATTGCAAGTTATTGTATACTATTGTATACTATTGTATCATGTATCTTTCATATTGACTATTAAATAAGTGTTCAGTATTCCTGCTGTATGAATTTGTCCTTATTCCGTAGTGGGAGTGTTTCCCACACTTTGTTTAAGAAGTAAATGATTTGTTGATCCTAAATGTTGTGGCCCAAGGTGATATACTAATTCCTTGTTATGCTTTCTAGCATTGACATATAGTGTATGTTGTGCATTCCAGGCGCGGATCCAGGGGGGGGGGGGCCGAGCGTGCCTTGGCCCCCCCCCCCCCCCCCCGCAAAAAAAAAAAAAAAGGAGAGAGAGAGAAGGAAAAGAAGGGAAAGCGGAGAGAAAGGGAAAAAAGAAGAGAAAGGGGAAAAAAGAAGAGGAAGAAGAAAAGAAAAGAGGGAAGAAGGAGATCGGGGGGGGGGGGGGGGGGGGGGACTTGCCTCCCCCCTCCCCCCCCCCCCCCAATAAAAAAATAAAAGAGAAGGAAGGAAAGGGAAAGAAAAAAGATAAAGAGGAGATAAAGGGAAGGACAAAATAGGAAGAAGAAAAGAAAAGAATGGGGATATCAGTTGCAATTTTCCCGCCAACAAGTTGTGGATCGAGGAGGGGGGGGGGGGCAAAAGGCCCTAGCCCCCCCCCCCCCCCCCCCCCCCCCGCTAAAAAAAGAGAGAAGGAAGGAAAAGGAAAAGAGGAGAGCTAAAAGGGAACAAAAAGAGGAAGAAAAAGAGAAAAGGGAGAAAAGAAGCGGAGATGGTCATTTAATGCCTAAAACCCCTGATTTCTGGGGGCTCTGCCCCCTGGACCCCACGCCAAATAGTGTCCTGCTAGTGTCACAAATAATAAGGTATCAAAAATGCTCATCTGACCGTAATTAAACGCCTAAAACCCCTGAGCTTCTGGGGGCTCTGCCCCCTGGACCCAACCAAGAGCCCTTAGGCGAGCCCCTCGATACTCATCTGACCGTAATTGAGTGCCTAAAACCCTTGAGATTCCGGGGCTCCGCCCCCTGAACCCTAAGCCAATTAGTGACCTGCCATTGTAACAATTAGGTATCAAAATAATGCTCATCTGACCGTAATTAAATGCCTAAACTCCTGAACTTCCGGGGCTCTGCCCCCAGGACCCCGTCTAGGGCGCTAAGGCGGACCCCTGAATGCTAATCTGACCGTAAATTAAAACCTTAAACCCCTGAGCTTCCGGGGCGGACAAGGTATCAACATAATGTTCATCTGACAGCAGGCGCGTAGCCAGGGGGGCGGTTGGGTGGTCCCCCAATAAACGCCGGCCAAAAAAGAGAGGGGTGTAAAGGAAGAGGACGTAGGAAGAAAAGGGAATAGACAAAGAACATATTTGAAATTCAGACAAGGATTAAGAGTCGAGAACGGTACAACAAATTGTCTTCTTTCTCTAATGAATTAATGAAACGTCAAAGCTTCCGCGCTATGCGCGGGGGAGGGCAGGGGGAACTTAATTCAGACGAGGATAATTTTCGGGAACGGTACAACGAATCGTCTTCTTTCTATAATAATTTAAAGAAACGTCGAAGCTTCCGCGCTTCGCGCGGAAGGGGGGGGGGGAAATTGATTTAGACAAGGATTAAGAGTCGAGAACGGTACGACGAATCTTCCTCTTTCTCTAATGATTTAATGAAACGTAAGAGCTTCCGCGCTTCGCCTGGGAGGGGGAAAACTGAATTTAGACAAGGATTAAAAGTCATAACGGTACAACGAATCGTCTTCATTCTCTAAAAATTAAATGAAACGTCGAAGCGGGGGAAAAACTGAATTTAGACAAGGATTAAGAGTCGAGAACGGTACAACGAATCGTCTTCTTTCTTTAATGATTTAATGAAAAGTAAAAGCTTCCGCGATTCGCGCGGGTGGGGGAAACTAAATTATTTTCGAGAACGGTACAACGAATCGTCTTCTTTCTTTAATGATATAATGAAACGTAAGAGCTTCCGCGCTTCGCGTGGGAGGGGAAAAACTGAATTTAGACAAGGATTAAAAGTCATAACGGTACAACGAATCGTCTTATTTCGCTAATGATTTAATGAAACGTAAAAGCTGTATTCAGACGAGGATTATTTTCGAGAACGGTCCAACGAATCGTCTTCTTTCTCTAATGATTTAATTAAACGTACAAGCTTCCGCGCTTCGCGCGGGAGGGAGGAGGGGAAAACTGAATTCAGATGAGGATTAAGAGTCGAGAACGGTACAGCGAATCGTCTTCTTTCTCTAATGATTTAATGAAACGTAAAAGCTTCCGAGCTTTGCGCGGGAGAGGGGGATGAATTAAGAGTGAAAAACTGTACAACGAATCGTCTTCTTTTTCTAATGATTTAATGAAACGTAAAAGCTTCCGCGCTTCGCGCGGGAGGGGAAAAACTATTTTCAGACGAGTAGGCACGTACGGAAGGGGGGAGGGGGTTAGGGGGTTGACCCCCCCCCCCCTTTCTGTGATTTAAAAAAAAAAAAAAAAAAAAAAAAAAAATATGCCAATGGCTGACCTAAAAAAGGTGACCTCACTTCCCCCCCCCCCCCCAACGGAACAAAATGTCAATTTTTTAAATTTCGAGACCATAAAAAAGTGTCCTCTTCCCCCCCCCCCCCCCCCCCTCGTTACGATTTGTTTCGGACCAACAAAATAAAGGGGCCCCCCCCCCCTAAGAAATCCTGGATCCGCGCCTGAGTATAGAAGTTGACATTGTATTTCGTTAGGCTAACATCGAAAGCGTTTTACTTTTCCCTTTTAATTTCAGTGTCGTCGGCTGAGTCTCAATCATCTACGACTAATTCTTTTTACTCTGGCCGTCATCTTCGTCTGCCTAACAATATTTTATTAACTTCATCACCTTTCCAAGCCAAGGAAAACACAAAATTGACCGCTCAAGTTTGTCTTTTGTCAGAACTAGTGGAGAGTTTGAGAGCATTGATAAAGCGTGGGATGGTGATGTCAGGAATGACAATGGTGACCACACAGTAATCAAGTCTCCCAAACATGACAATAGAACCAAGAGAAGAACGCGAAGTCTGTACATCCATTCCGAGCTTCGTCCTATCTCGACGTGATACGAGTTGGAAGATTTGGTCAATTGTGTAAGAGTGGAGAAAGGGAAGCCTGAGACCAAACCATGTATAGTCCAGTGCCCGAATGGAGAAGGCCTTGAGATCCATCTGGATACCGATCTCCGCATTGCCAGGACGATGGATGCCGTCCTCTTCGGCCTTTCTCCATTCACAATGAGTTGGTCCTTCACTAATGTGTTGGGCTACAAACCCGTTGCCAACCAACTTGTCGTGTTTTACAGCATGGAAAACGTTCTTCGCATGCACAAGTGGAACCCAAGGCTGGGCCTGTTCAAGTATCACGTGGACATGACGTATGGTGCGTATTCAAACATAAGCGTTCCATACGCTTACTTTACTCCTTTCGCTGAAGACGAAACCAACAAGAGCGAGACGAAAAACTGGATGCAAGGAAAGACTAAATTGATCGCGTGGTTGGCGAGCAACTGTAAGGAGGTCTTCTGGCCGAGGAACGAGTTCGTGGCCGAACTACAGCGCCATATGCAGATCGACACCTACGGACGCTGCGGCAACCTGACCTGTCTCCCTCGCTTATCCGAGGAATGTGTCAAGATGCTCACCAAGTATAAATTTTACCTTTCTCTCGAAAACTCCGAGTGCAATGACTACTTGACAGAAAAAATCTGGGCTTCGGCGTTAGAAAATGACGTCATCCTGTAATTGTAACATTGTGTTATACGTGCTGATATCTTTCACAACGTTATTTTATTTATTCTAAAATTAAAATGAATTTTGGTCGATATTTCGAATATAAAAAGTTATGTGCAAATTTGTATTCATTCATTCATCATTACATTCTAATTCTATAATGCTAACCGAAATACAAATATATTCGGAACAGATTATGACCACTGCCAAACCAGACTTATTATTCTCTTTTGATTGATAATTTAGATTGAAGTTGCTGATCAACTATCATTTAAATAGATGAAGGGTTGTCGAGTATACTTACTAAAAAACTAAGTTAACTATGGTATTCTACTCATCCAAAATTATTTTCTGTCGCCTATTTTGTTACAAGAAGAAAACCAATGCATAATATCTTAAACTGAAAATTAAACAAATTTTTGTTGTGTTCCAGGAAAGCGTAGTCGGTAAAACTAATATTTTCTGTTATCAATAATATTCCTCTGTCCATTGGGATGGTAATGGTTTTTGATCCAGGAGAAGATAAAGTTGGGAAACACATAACATGAATACCACCTGAAGAAAAATTGCAATTTCACGGCTTAATGACATAAATCAAACTGGCCCAAAGGTCATTACACAATTTTGATAACCGAGGTTAAGTGCCACACAAAAGAAGTCGATGGGACCCCTTCCACATCTAATCAACGGCCTTGTAAATTCACATTTCATTTCCCAAGCATGGCCGGTGCCCCATGACTGGACTCAGCTGCACGCTACTGGCCACACCTATAGGAGCATACAAAACCATGGAGGATGCGTTATAAGAGAAAGGCCCTATCAACATCATAACGTCATCGATAATATGATGATAGGCATTTCCTTAGAAACTTTACACCTCAGTCGCCTCAGTCACATCGCCAGGCCAACCCCAAAGTGTTTCCACACCGCTCTTTCTTGGTCATTCGGGAGTTTGATGTTGGTCTTGTTGGTACTCATGGCATCAAATCAGTGGCGTAGCATTGGTATAATTATTCATTGAACGATGATGTCGGGTTAGGGGTGGGGGGGGGGGGCACCGTTCTTACTAGGCGGAGGATTTGCTAGAGAACACGTCCATAGGGTGAGGATATTGTGTTAGGGGGGGGGGCTGGTGTCGTGTCATCTTAGTTTTACGTTACCTTCCCTCATTCTCATTCTTTACCTCCCCCTTTCCACTTCCCTTTTTTGTTCCTCAATATGGGCGGCACGTGCCCCTGTTTCCTTCGAGGCTACTAGCATTGGAAGTAATCATTTGCCGTCAATAGGATATCTACACTTATTATTTTGTATTGAAATCTTGCATTCAATCGACTGAAGATCTAGAATGATTGTTTACATTAATTTTCCTCATTTAGTATAAGATAAAAGCTTCATTTATACATGTAGATGAATCCATGTGACATTTTGATTGACGCAAATAACGATATACAGTGTATTTATTTATATATTTTTAGACAATCTGATTGAGATAAAATGATCTATAGATGATCTTGATTCGAATGAAAAGATTATCAGACAATAATATTTGAATCCGAGTTTAATGAATATATAATAAAGTATTTTTTTTAATCAAAATATTTCGTTTACGAAACTGTTTTCCATTGAGGTGGTCACAATGCACAATGTTCGTGTTATATGAATTGAACATCTCTCTACTGAAGATGGATATATCAATTTGATCTGTTTCAGTAATACCATCGACTGGTTATTGCGGTATCATGAAATGATGAAATTTATAGAGATGAAGATGATGACAAAATGTGGCAATACTGAGGATTGTGATGACAACGACGATGATGATGACAACGATGATGATGATGATGTCGATAAAAATGGTGATTGTTGTCCAGAATGTGATGACTGTATTTCTAATGTGTTGTATTGTATTAATTGTATTGGTTTATTGACATAAAAAGCATCAAACATGGAACTAAAAACTTAAGATATTCAATTCAATCAGTAAAACATTACATGTATTTAACATTAATCGTCTTAAAAACTCTTTGGAAATGAGCAAGTGTTATGTTTACTACCTGTGAATTATAAATTCATTTTTATTTCATCTAGGATGTGTAATGTAAAATTACATATCGTTTTGAGTAAACGAGAAAATAATTCTATCTGTTTGAAGCCAGAAGGTCATTAAAAGTAAAATGATATGATGTATGCCTTCTGGCTCCAAAGGCGAGGGGGTGATGACAACATGATAACAGAGATGATAAGAATGAGGATACCTTGTTTTATTTTTCAACTCCTCTCCCCCCCCCCCCCCCCATTTGTCGGGAGGAGGACACCTTCCCATGTTACCCCATATTAACTAAGCCTATAATATCACCGTATGAGGAACTATCAACAAGGCATAAATATTCCTCGTGAAAACCCCGGATTTTTCCGGTGACAATAAATTTGTTACATGACTCCACATTTTGGAAATGTAGCCTTAACTAAGATTTGTTTACCGGAAGATCAACGTCCTGTTTTTTCAACAGTTCGGAAGATGATTCTCAATTCGCCTGTATCAAACAAACTAAAACTTCCCTATTTCTTTGTTACATCAATGATACTAAAGTACATTGTACTATGATCACACTTATATGGACACCAAACAAAAATGAGCTGTGAAATCAATGTTCCTGTTTAGATTAAAAAAACAGACTAGCAAAGGACACGAGTATAATATACATTCAAATAATTGAAAGTCTTGCCAGCAATAATGAAACGCCAATGAATACTCGCGGTGATCCGTTTACAGAAAATTCAAAAGAGGAATGGGTGTACATCAAAGCCAAATTTCTTACATAACATTTCAAATAAAATCACAATCAATGAGTATGAGATTGGATATCTAGATTTGGATATTTACGAGAGTGAAGGAGAGTGACGAGAAAATGTCATAGCGATTAGGAGATTGAAAGCTAAGATGGGAGAAGAATGGGACAAGTTAAGAGAGATAAAGAATGAAGTTGGAGAGGCGGAAAGCAGACTCAAATTTATTCTACATTTATTTTACAGTCAAAACAAAGCAGATATCGATATTAAAGTGCTTGGAATCACTTTCTCGGTTTCTTTCATAATCGTTCGAATGCAGAATTTTTGTATCATTGAAATAAAAGTAGAGCGAAAAGAGAAACGGAAGATGGTAAGAACATTCATGAATTTAAGTATAGACAAGGTCGAGAAATTAGTCGTATCGTTTATTAACTTGCCATTAAAATGTACAAAAATAGATCTTGGAAGTTTTGATAATAATGATCAAAAATTAGAACGGACAAAGTGAGTAGATATTTTGATATAGACGGTCATCATCTACTACGAATAAAATAATGTTCTTTTCAATAAGGATAACAAGAAAAATAAGTGGTCTGTTCGTTCCGCAGTACGAACAATGGTATCTCTAGATTCATCGTAATTAAAGGAATAATCTTAATTTCCAGATAATGCTTAATGTCAATGTTCAATGATATGGGCTTTTTTCTTCAAAAGCTACATAGTAACTTTAATTTATCTCCAATGTAACGAAACACATCTAACGTACAAAACAATCTTTAATTAAAGGGTTTAAGTACGGAAGATGAGATGGGATGCAGTAAACATGATACTTCTGTTTTGGGTGCACCTTTATGAAAGTAGATATTATGATGAACTTTAATTGTTTTTTATAGACCTCCGATTGGCAGGCCCTTTAAGCCTTATTGAAATACTGCACGTATAATTATGATCACCTGATAATATGATCGGATGATCACAACAACAAACCAGTTTGATATATAGGTCAAGCTAGGTCAATCTTTGCACTTGCCAATCAAGTGCTTTGAAACAAAATTATGGACAGAAGGAACGCTCTAACAAGTACACGTGTATACATACACACGCGTGCTCACACGCACACACACACACACACACATACAAACGCACACATCACAGACGTTTTGAAGCTATACTTTTTCTTTACATAATATTTTCTGTAATTGATTTTGTTGGTGTTGTAATACACATAATTATTACATTCATAATTGTGCCACTTTATTTATTGTAGACTACTACTATACATGAAGTATTAAGTTACCGGACGTACTAGCACATGTGACTATTTCTGTATATATTTGTATTATAAAACAATTCAGCAGCGAAAGAAAGTCGAGAAATAAACTTATAAAGCCATTTCAATAGCCCGATCCACCACCTTTTTATAATTGTGTACGATCTTTACAGTGACATGATACACAATCCGAACATAATTGATATAGGGAACACGTATTGAAGTTAATTTTGTATGGAAATTAATTTAAAAAAAAAAATCAATATTAAAACGATCATTCAATTAATCAAGACAATCCATAGTAATGTCTACATTACATTACCTGGCACATACTCTTTGTAAGATGATGAAATTACCCCCCAAAATTGAAATCAATTGGCTGACATGAGGAAGCAAGGAGCTGAGTGGTTGTAATGATGATCCTTAACTTCCTTGTTGATGAGTGGTTTTCTGAGGGAGGGAAATACTGCGTATTGGTGACATCAGGATATCCTTTTATTATTATTTGACCTGTTTGCCACCGAGTCCTTTTTTATATTTTTTTTTTTCATTTAAAAATAATAACAATTTCAAAATAATTCACAATCAATAAAGCGAATAATCTTACACAAACAAATTGAATTGAATTGAATTATTGAAATAGACCCATGAACAATGAATCCGACATAGTATTTCAAATACACAATTTTCTTAGCTCCTGCTATAACTTTGTATTGTACTATTAAAAGAAATGCCAAGAATAATAAATTACCTGTGAAAAACATTTATAAAGGAACACGGTCGCAAAGACTTTCGAAAAATCTCCTCACGGGCAATTTCTATATCCTTCTGTTAGTAATCGTCTCCGGATTACATTATACATCATTGAAATTGGCTAATTTCAAAAGGTGGTAGAGGAGGCTACCGAAATTTCCTTAGATTAATTTTCGAAAGTCTGTGTTGCTAAAAGTCCAACTGATGAGAGAAAAAAAAACTGATTTCCTTGGTTAAACTTTTATTTTGGGATAAAGTGTCAGGGTGCAACTCGTCTACTTAAAAAGTGTTTAGATGAGATGTCTGCATTCTTGATAAATCCCACAGTTAGGGTTGATTTTTAGGATTATAATTTCCAAATAACATCTAGTATTACGGTGCATTCGCTCAATTTGTATTGATTCAATGATGAAATTGTATAAAGCTTTTAATTTACAGACCGATATGATTTTCAAAAAATAAATCTTTTTGTCCTCATACAAGTGGACGTGTCGTGACATAGTGGTTCATTCTTAATTTATGGTTGATGGTTCGAACCCCAGGCACTAATGTCCGTTGGTAAAACAATAATCCATATTTACCACTCTCTACCCAGGTGTAAATGGGTACCTGACAATAGCTTGGGTGAATTATTACAGGGCCCGCATGAAGAACAGTACTGGTACTGATGTGGCAACCCTAAGTCAGTAAGACTCCATTACTGTTGTTGTTATCAATTTTATTATTTCAATTATTATTATTATTATTTAACTTTTAAAGCTAAAAGAGAAAATCTAAACTTTTAGTCTGAGGCCAACTAGAGTAACAAAGAAATACACCAAGTTTCCACCAAACATGACATTGACTAGCACCATGAACACCTCTTTAACGAACCAAAAAGGATAATGACTCGCTTGGCAAGGTCAATCGAAACTGAGCTTAAATATATCTAAAGGTGAGTTACCTGTACTTCCGTATAAACATTTCTTATCCAGCCTATTAAATTGCTTCAATTTATGAGGGTATAATTGTCGATTGATTCCGGATATTTTATTTCATATCTAGGTGTGTAACTAGAATTGATTGATTGATTTTATTCCATTTCATATATCAATTGGGGAGATACAGAAGATTTCTTTTGTCAAAAAGAGGAATTTGAAACGATCTGTAGGGGACAAATAATTTTAATGACAGTAAACGAAAAGAAGAAGAAGAAAGGTTAACCCGGATCAATCATTGACAGGCAAATACCCCTCCCTTTTTCTCTCTCTCTCTCTCTCTCTCTCTCCTTTTCTCCCTTTCACACTCCCCCCCCCCCTCTCTCTCTCTCTCTCTCTTACATTCTCTTTCCCTCTCTTTATATCCACCTTTGACTCTCTTCCTCTCTCTTTCTCGTTTATAAATGCATTGATCTTGTTATGCTTTTATTTTTTTTATTTTTTTTTGTTCTACTTTTAGTCAGGGCCAGAAAAACTGTGGTCAGACGGTAAACTTATGAATTATGACCAAATTAAGGCAATATATATTTTAACTACTCCTCGTTAGCCATCTGTTCTCATTCTCTTCTCTTTATTCCTTCATAATCCAGTGATATCCAGTGAGCCTAGATTACTTTGTGTTGTCTTGATATTTTAAAGGCATACGGGGACATTCTCAGGAGGAGGGGTAGGGGGACTAACGTATCTTGCCTGTTTCGTACCCAGGATTTGTCATCATCCCCCACTTACGCACACATACGAACATACAAATTTGTGCTTTACCAACCACCCACCCCCCCCCCCCCCCAAAAAAAAAAAAAAAGAAAAGAAAGAAAGGTAAGCAGATAAATAAAAATGCTTGGGAAATTTCAACCTATAACTAATCAGGGAAATCCTCTTTCTCCTGTTAACCCCTTAAATGTAACCATTTTTGTCCGGCATTAGCCTAATATCTTGTGCTTAATCCACCCACCCCTTTGTGTTTTTCCTTCCGCCGACTTCAGTGTATGTATAAAGTTCATATCATATTCACATGGCCATTCTCCTTAAATGCACTATGAACAACTTGCTTGCCTTACCTGTACAATCAAGAGCTATCAATATTCATTTTGGTGGTGCACCTGAGCTATAAACGACAAAGAAGAAGGTGCTCTGTGTGATAGTCTATTGTTCGACGAGCATCAAATGGATGTCTACGTTTCTTCATCGAATTATAGTCATCAACTTTTAGCACATGAAATAAAAATCGTTTAAATTTGTCATTATAGTTCTCAAAAAGTAACAGCAAACGACTTTTTGCCGAATTGTTAAAAGAGTTCACACTGCAAGTTTTTTATTAACACAACCACATTTTAATCGTCTGTTCTTTTGCAAGTACTTCTCAGGAATACAATGGAATAAGCTGACACACCCTAATCCTAACTTCTTTACTTCATGTTTAACATTTATAAGAACACGTCGATTATAACTGAGTTAGTGATCACATCGTCTGGTTTGAACAAGCGAATGGTTTAGGAAAGTAGGACATTGAATAGAAGTGAATACCTTGGTCGATAGCAATTTACCTTTATTCGCTGAAGCTGGAAACCAGATGGAGCGAAGAAAAAGTGAAATTCTCGGTATCGTGTTGTTGCTGCTGCTGACGTTTGCTTCGGAAAATAGCTCGGCAAGTACTAATAGTACTAATAGCACAACGACAAGCCTCAGCCCAGGTGATCCAAATGTTTGCAACGTTACAACCAGGTATGAGATAATAAAATTATTGGTCAAAAAATTCATAAATCGAAATTATGAATGCACTTAAGCCGAAAAGAACGAATTTCCAATTTCAAATGGATATTTGTTTTATTCATATATTTTATTCACATTTCACGAAATATTCCATTGATATAATTATACAAAACACTGAGATTAGGGGTGATATTTAAAAGCTTAGATATAACATAGATGTTATACTGGGAAGAAGGAATGTAATTTGACTAAACCATGATTCGATATACCCCTTTTCTATTCTTTCCTGATCAGAATTCAGCTACTATGTAGTCTAAATTTGTAAACTAATTGTCCTGCCGGGGTAGGTAAACATTATAAGTATTTCTACGGAGGAACAAACTTGACATAATTGATTTATTTAATCTAAGAGTCCAAGCACAATTATATATATCATTACAAGCCCACTAAACCATTTTTTATATCGTTTATTTCATTTAGGCGACATGTAGCAAGATATTTTCAAATTTCTTTTTATTATTGTTTAGGAGTAACAAGAGGTGAAGAAAATGTGCTAAAAATTTATAAATTTATTTCAGTTAGGCATAAATAGTAAAGTTCGATCTTCATTTTCCAATTTAACTTCACTGAAATATAGTCTACTACGCTTATGGTCTTGAAAGGGGACAGCAAGTTAGAATAATTGTTTAGATGATGGTAATTTTGACATTTCAAGAAAAAAGGTATATTATGAAACGTTAGCATTCATTAAAAACAAAATGAACACAAAACAATAAGTAATAAGTACCGAATTCGGAGCATCACTTTAAGGAGGAAAATTGTACTCCGGTTTTTGCTATTCTTAGCCCCTTTACACATATCTATCAATAATATATACAAAAAATATGCTTCTTTCATTTTCTACAGGCGCCCAGCATATTACGCTGAGACATACACAGTGCAGCGAGTCGAGAGATATGTCTCAATGTGTAGCTGGTGGCAGTGCATCCGTGAGAGGTAGGTTTTGGGGTCTTGGAACGCTCTTTTTGGGGGTAGGAGGGGGGGGGGGGGTTGTTGCCAAAGTTTTAAATATGATCACATGTTTTTCTTTTAAACTCTTGTCAGTAAGTTTTTTAAAGAAATCTGGCATAGTATGTGTCTAAAAATATGAATTAAAAAAAAAAGGTTTATGAGTGGTTTTTTAGATATGAAACGTGATGCGTATTTCACTTAACGTCGTCAACAAACACACACACACACACACACACACGCACAAGCACGCACAAGCACACACCAAAAAACAAACATCTACGCAAGGCTCTTAAATATGTGGTGTCCACCAAATTTTGTCTTATTCTACACTCGTGAAAAATAACTTTCGATTTCCACAGACTAGTAACTGCATTGGAATCTCGACAGGTAACTCGGATGGTAAATACCACCATCTTGGATTGCTGTGAAGGATGGCTATACAGAAATGGATCGTGTAACACATGTAAGTCTCTATTAACACAATGAACCCTGCTTTAGCGACCACCTGTATAAAAAGACCGCCTGCTTACAAAGATCATATTTTCTATTTTTATGGAATAATGTCTCTCTAAGAAGCTAAAGAAACTTGTACATAAAAAACACCTGCATTATAAAGACCGCTTTTCTTGTCTCCCTTGGGCGGTCTTCATATAGGCCTAGGTCTAAACAATTTCTTTCTGATATTTGTTAAAACTTCGCACAGGACTATAAAGCAGGTACCCCCTCCCTCCCCTCTGTTATCATCATCTGGACGGGATTCAACCCTGATTTTTTTTTTTTTTTTTTTAATGTTTGGATACGCCTCTGCCAGATGATACTTTCAGAAAATATAGGTCAAGCACCACCAGGCGCGGATCCAGGGGGGGCCGAGCGTGCCTTGCCCCCCCCCCCCCCCCCCGCAAAAAAAAAAAAAAAAAAAAAAAAAGGAGAGAGAGAGAAGGAAAAGAAGGGAAAGAGGAGAGAAAGGGAAAAAAAGAAGAGGAAGAGGCAAAGAAAAGAGGGGAAAAGGAGATCGGGGGGGGGGGGAGGACTTGCCTCCCCCTCCCCCCCCCCCCCCAATAAAAAAATAAAAGATAAGGAAGGAAAGGGAAAGAAAAAAGATAAAGAGGAGAAAAAGGGAAGGACAAAATAGGAAGAAGGGGGATATCAGTTGCTAATGATTTAATGAAACGTAAAAGCTGTATTCAGCCGAGGATTATTTTCGAGAACGGTACAACAAATCGTCTTCTTTCTCTAATGATTTAATGAAACGTACAAGCTTCCGCGCTTTGCGCGGGAGGGAGGAGGCGAAAACTGAATTCAGATGAGGATTAAGAGTCGAGAACGGTACAACGAATCGTCTTCTTTCTCTAATGATTTAATAAAACGTAAAAGCTTCCGAGCTTTGCGCGGGAGAGGGGGATGAATTAAGACGAGGATTAAGAGTAAAAAACTGTACAACGAATCGTCTTCTTTTTCTAATGATTTAATGAAACGTAAAAGCTTCCGCGCTTCGCGCGGGAGGGGAAAAACTATTTTCAGACGAGTAGGCACGTACGGAAGGGGGGAGGGGGTTAGGGGGTTGACCCTCCCCCCTTCGGTTTTTTATGTGTGTATTTTGGAGCAACCCCCCCCCCCTTTCTGTGAATTTTTTTTTTTTTTAATTTAAAAAAAATAAAAAAATATGCCAATGGCTGACCTAAAAAAGGTGACCTCACCCCCCCCCCCCAAGGAACAAAATGTCAAATTTTCAAATTTCGAGACCAAAAAAAAAAGTGTCCTCTTCCCCCCCCCCCCCCCCCCCGCTTATTTATATTTAGCAGATGGCTGAGTCGTTACGATTTTTTTTCGGACCAAAAAAAAAAAAAGTGGGCCCCCCCCCCCCCCCCCCCCTAAGAAATCCTGGATCCGCGCCTGGTGCATTCAATGAGTACGATATGAAGTGATGTGATTATCTTAAATCACTAAGGGATTTCAGGGCCGGGCATTTTGAAATCCAAGTAGAATACACATTCAGTACACAACCTCATCTCAATATTTTGAGCCAAAATGCATCTGAAAAATGTATTGTTTTGCCATGTTTATAGTTTTATTTGTTTGTTTAGATGGTCACTCGACCCCCTCCCCCAACTGGGAATTTTAAAAAAAAAGTGATTTCTCGTTGACAAAATCCTATCACCGATCATATACAGTACCCTTCCATGAACTAGATGTCCTGGTATCGCGTGAATGATCTGTTATTAGTAAGAGTGAGAGGAAGAGAGAGAGGGGGAGGCATAGTTAGATGAAGAGAGGGAAGGAGACGTAGTCATAAGAAGAGAGAGAGGGAGAGAGAGTGAGGGAAGAGAGAAAGTAAGAGGAAGAGAGGGTGGGAGTAAGAGACAGAGAGAGAGAAAGAGAGAGAGATGAAAAGAGAGAGGGGGAGATGTAGTCATAAGAAGAGAGAGAGGGAGACGTAGTCAGAAGAAGAGAGAGTGGGGGGGGGGGGGTAAGAGGAATAGAGAGAGAGAGAGTGGGAGTAAGAGAGAGAGAAATAATAATGAAGTACATGTAAGATGAGATCCGATTGTTGAGAACGTAATTGATATTCAGCTGACAAGGTCAAGGAATACTGAAGTGGGTCAAGTGGTTAAAAATCTGACTGGTCTTGATCAGTACTTGAAGCAGCTAGAGATCAGATTTACCATACAGCATTGAGTAGAGAATCATTGCCTAGGTTAGACCGCTCGAATAAAGTCTTCACAGTGTCCTCACAAATTGTTGGAAACAACTCTGAATCAATAAAATAATCAATGAAAATGGATTTTTCATTACTGAGCGTCAGAGCAGGATTTGTTCTTATTGTTGCTGTAAATTTTACTATTGGTGAGTTTAATCCCCTTTTTATTGTTTTTACCGTAATTTCAGGATGTCTTGGAAATAAACATTCTCACGCTCGATTACAATGATGAGACCTACTTATGGCCGGTTTTCCTGTATATTTAACACATTAAAAAAAAAAAATCATACTTTTAGAATTCAACAATTCGTGGTCTTGCACATCCATTGTCAATAACATTTTGATCATCATTTTGCATCGATTTTTACCTCAAAGTCGAATCAAGTTTTTCATTCCCGGCTACCAATGTGCAAATGCATAAATTATTTCTAGTCAGTTTGAAATGATATTACTCAAAGCATCATTCAAATTCGCCTAATGCGGTATATACTGGGATGTGCCGTTCTAATGGCTGCCTTTTTATGTCAAAAATCTCTAAACATGGGGTGTGATTTGTGCCGCAAAATCCCTAAAAGTGCCCCCACTTTTTAGATCTTGGTCTTAACATGGGTTACTTTTTACTTCAGGATACTATCACACCCATAATTACAGATGCAAAATCCCGCAAAAATAATTAAAATCATTTCGCTTGTTCATCCAAAGTCCTTCCCAATGGTCGTACAGATTTATCAATATCATTAATTCGCTTCTCACTGATATATATACGGGTGTTGTGTTGTGTTGTGTTGAGTAAAAAAAAACTCACTACACCCGCTCAGTGGTGGGGGGGGGGGGGGGGGGGGGGTAGTGACCAAATTTTTGTTGGGGGCCCTCGAAAATTCAAACAGAGCAAACTGAGGCGGTATTCATTTACATACTTTTTTTAAGTTCAACTTTTACTTCAAGTTTTTGCTAAGCTAAGTAAAACGTCTTAAGTCCTATTCAGATCGCATCTAAGAAATTTACTTTCGCAAGCCGACTTTACGCCAAAATACTTACTGATAAGCATTGTGACATCACACGATGAATCAAAAGTAATTTGGCGTCGCAACAAAATTAATGTGCGCTAATCTATTTGTGCGTCGCGTCATCTAAAGGTGGCAATTATTCATTTCTGTTTTCTGGTTATTGCATCCGTTAGAATAGTCATAAGTCATAACTATCCTCTTGCCAAGTGATAGTTTCATCATTTTGTATGTAACGTATTAACATATTGAGCAATTGTTATTGAAATGATATGGTCCTTGCTTACAATATAAGTTATCACATTTTATAACGAATACAATTTAGATAGTTATTGCTGCATTAGGAGAGCGAAATTGCCCTGTACTTTTACTGTCGATAAGACTTGTTTTTACAAGATGTCGGCTGAAGATGTCAAGAATAGCTAGACGATTTCTTAACAGAACAAGAGAAAACACGAGATGGAATTATGATCATCGAGGCCTCTATATGAGCTTTTGTAATAGTAATTGCTATATGCCCTCACGATAAGCATATGACATTATAAGATATATTATAAGTATATTTGGCGTCACCTCTGCCGGAGAGGGGGAAAACTGAATAACTGTAACTCTTGGGTCTCTCCTCCACTTATAACTGACTAGAACGTGCCGGTGCACCGCTACAACGGGGTTTACCCCTACCCTTTTCGAATGATGCAGTGGGTTCTTAACGTGCAACTCGATCTCCTCTTCACAGAGCCTCCATTTAAGTGTTTTCCCATCTAAACTAGCATGGCTCTAATAGAAACAAGGGAAGGGCAAGTTTAACACAACGCTGGCTTCAGTCATCCGCCTAGGTTGGATTCAAACCAAATATCTTTGGTTCGACAGGCAGACCTTTTACCTGCATGTACTTCATACTTCTCCTCCAACCATCTATCTTTTCGCTAGATGAATACGATGGTTATCACTCTTCCCCATAAACACAATAAGCATCTTTCCCTTTCAATTCATATTCTATTATTTCGGAATGACAATCATGTGGTTGTATAACCATTTTTAACCAAGAGCACGAATTATTTATTCTTTTAACTAGCTCTTGACATCGGGACAGAATTTGGTACGTATATAGAGGACTTGACGATCGTTTCACCAAACTATCCAGACAACTATCCAAATAACGTCAACACTCAATGGCTTGTTTCTGGACCAGCAGACTACCAGATCATGGCAGTTTTTAGCACCTTTAATCTGGAAGACAGCTATGACAGCTTGAGGATTGGTTCTGGTCTTGATCCAGATGATACAGCATCATTATTGGCTACTCTCTCAGGTTCTATTTTACCTGATATCATAGTCTCTAACAGCAATGAGATGTGGCTGGTATTTACCTCAGATGTTTCAGTTACAGAGCTGGGGTTTAGGGTAAACATCGAAGTTTATACTCCAGGAAACTATGCAGGTAATTGATGAACCTTCAGCTTTTATTTCCAACATATTAGCTTTATACAACAATCCATGTATGTTATTAATAATGATAAATCAGTCTGCATTGTTTTGATCAAAGTCTTCCGTCGCTAGATTACTGCATTTTAAACGTAAACGTCGCCCAAACACTAGCTTTATATAACAAACAAAACTGGTTATTTGTTATCAATTTTATTCAACGAAAATTTCTACATATTATTACTGGAAAATGAGATGTTATTTGATCGCACTTCCACAGAGACGATTGAAACGTCAAGAATATATAATTCCATTGCATTAAAGACTTTTAAATAGTCATATATTTCGGTATGGTAATATCATTTCCTGTTTGTATTTCAGACTATACGGACTTTTCTTTATCAAGTGATTTTCTCGACATGAGTAGTATTGATTCTAAAGGTAAAAATAGAATATTGATAATTACTGAATAAAGGATACATTTTGATAAATTTGATAAACTACTAGATGCAAATTGCTTCAGATTATCTGATTCGTGTGTGACAGCCGCATCTTGAGTATGCTTTTATTTTCAACATAATAACTGTATACAACAATTAATGTAGGTCACTAATAATGATGAAATCATTCTTAATTGCCTTAAAGTCTGCAGTCGCTATGATGACTGCATTTCAAACCTGAACCTTTATTTTGACAGTTTTATCAATTTTGATTCGGTTGAAATTTCTTCATACGTTTATTATCATTTTAATTTTAAAGAAAGGTAATTTGATTGCACATCCACAGAGAAGATTATAACGTCAGTAGAGTGTTTGAAACCTATATCATTGAGAGTCTCTTTGGGATATCCGCATGGGAGAAAGAACGTATTATAATCGCAGATAAAGGTTTTGGAATAGTCTTATGTTTAGGTATGGTAATTTAATTTTCTTTTCTTTTTTTGTATTTCAGACTTTATGACGGACTCTTCTTCATCACCTGACTTCCCGGACATAAGTATTTTTTATTCAAGCGACTCTGTTATCAATGCATCTGCAGGTAAAAATAGAATATTGATAATCACTAAAAAAAAAGGGATACATTTTGATAACTATTGATGGGATAATCACATAATAATCCCATCACACGCAATCACGCCCTCTCACAATGCTTCCGATTTCCTGATCCGGTGTGACAGCCGTATCTTAATGGGTATGGTGATGGTCGGTTGATGATTGTTTCACCTGACTACTTAGAAAGCGTGTATATGCTTTTAAATAAGCAACCAGAAGACCAACGGCTTTCATTCCTCCCCGAGGAACCTGGTAATGATGATCAATGCCTTACCAAAGGGAAACGAGAGCATTGACGTGGTCTCGAACCCAGGACCTCCTGCTTGATACCACTGAGCCATCGCGCCTCCTGAATGACGGCTCGTAATGAACAGTATACCACAATTTTGCTCATATTAAAACAAAAAATTACTAAGCTAGTTGTAAACTATTTACATAGTCAAAAATACATTGTTTGCAACTAGAAATAGGAACTACCTAAATTTATTATTTTACATAAGCCTACCCAGTTTCAGCATGTATACTAACCAATTAATTTGCATTGATATCATTAGACTTACATAAGTTATGTTAATTTGTAAATTGTGAACATCGACAAAATTTCTCGACCTAATAATGACAAATATTCCTGCCTTTGATTCATTTAATAATTCTCATTATCTTCATTCCTAATAATGAATGATGTTTAATACCTTGAAGTTTCTTGGAGCACCAGTCAACTCGATAAACCTGTGCCTCCAAAGTAATAAGAAAAGGAGTCAGTTACAGATCCGGTCATTGTTTGTCCATTGTGATTAACCCAAACAAATAATGTGTCGATAACGGGTGATATACCTCTCATAAAACTTCATGAAACGTTACCTCATACAAGATGGATCGTATGAATAATTACGATATCTTCTATACCATTTATTTCCACAGAAAATATGGATTTAAATCAGTATGCAGATAATACATGCTTTGAGGAATCATGCCTTGATGGACAAGAAACTTTATGTAGATGCGATGATATGTGTCAACTCTTTGGTGATTGCTGTCCAGACTACCCTATCCCAATATCCAGCGGGACTCTGTCAAACGAAATTCTATCAAACGAGACCCTGTCAAATGAGACTCTATCAAACGAGACTCTATCAAACGAAACTCTGTCAAATGAGACTCTTTCAAACGAGACTCTATCAAACGAGACTCTATCAAACGAGACTGTATTAGACATTGACGTGTGGGAATGCATCGTGGATTCTTTCCTTCCACTATTCTACCCATTTCTTGGACATGGTTACAGGATGATTGCTAGGTGCCCATCAAGATGGTCTTTAGAGGAGGATGTCAAACGAAACTGTGAAGAGGTTTCTCCCAATGCAACTATAGATGTTCTTTATATTTACCAGGACACGTACTTTAGAAACCTGGATTGTGCTACTTGCCATGGGTATACTGAAAGTTCTTTGACAGCTGTTGTCATTTCAGCAGACCAAAAATGTTGGTGGGGATATAATAATACCCTTGCATGCATGACACCAATGCCCACATTACAGTCCAACGTTTCGATGAATATCAGCAGATCTGATATCATGCCTTCGGTTCAAACTATCCAGAAACCTCGACTTTGCCTCGTAAATACAACAGGAAGTTGTCCAAACGGGACAAATGAAGAGATAGCCCGCGAGTGTCAGTTTTATTACAAACCATGCATCAGTGAAGGTATTGTAAGTAAGCATCCTGCATGCAGTTATTGCAATGGAGGCTCCATGGGAATATCCTCACCTTCAGGTTCCGATGATTCATTGCATTACGATTATTACGATAGCAGCATGTTAGATGGAGCGGATGGATTAGTAGATATTTTCCAAATGTTGAACGCTCCTATAGCCGCTCCTATACAGACATTTTGTTTAGAAGGATTTGAATTGGATGGCAATGGTTACTGCGCTCCCTTATCGTCCGATTGGCCCGTCTGTCAATCCAGACATTTTGGAGTCAAACAAAGTAAAGGGACTGTCGAATGTTTAGAAGAGATGGTTTGTTTCAGGGAGGTGACCGTGGATAACATTACAACATCGGCAAAAGTTCCCCCACCTTGTCTAGTTAGGTCATCAACAGACGAGATTAATGATATTATAACATTCAACTTGCTTTACAGAGATGACATGAATCCATCTCTTTATACAATCCAGAGCGATATCATAAATCGAATTAAAAATCCTAGCCGTGACGGTTGCAATGACATAGTAATATCAGCTAGTCAGTTCTGTCATGTCGAAGACAATCCTGGAAACATTACATATCGTTGTCCCGAGGAAATGTTTGTTGGATACTGTTTGGATTTTACGCCTTTTCTTACCAACAACGAGTCTCTTATTTTCTTCAATGGAACTTATATTCGTCCAAAATGGTGGAGTAATATCACCAACATGCAGTTCAGCAGTGACAACGTCTCATCAGAGTATCAGTTTGTAATGTGTGGGACCGAGATTGCTCTCCAAACCTGCTCTTTCTTCACGGTTTCCAATGATTCCATTGAATGGGACTATCAAGGAAACCAGTCTGTTATTCTGTATCAAGGTCAGATGTACGACACAGAGGACATTCTGATTCATCCCGATGGTTCCATAAGCATCTGCTATAGTGATCAGGTCACACCCATTGACAGTAGGACATTGATGATCATAGGACATGTTCTCTTTGCCATATCATCTGTTTGTCTCTTTGCTACCTTGATAACTTACGTTGCCTTCTCTACCTTGCGGAATCGTCAAGGTGTATCCATAATGAATTTCATTGTTGCGTTGTTCCTTGGACAAATCTTTCTTCAGTACATGCGTCTTTCAGTCTCCCAGTTTAGAATTCCTTGTATAGTTGTTGCTGCATTATCCCATTTCTTCTTCCTTGCTTCGTTTGTTTGGACGACTATCCTTGCTTGGGACCTGAGTCGAAGCTTCGCAGCAAACAAGATAAAATCGTTTTCATCTAGCTCATTTGGTCGTAAGATGGTGGCTTTTCTTGTTATTGGATGGGGCACTCCTCTCGTCTTTGTCTCGATCACTTTGGTACTTCAGTTCGGAAGATTCCAGAATGGTCCTTTCTTGGAATACGACAGTAATACATGCTGGCTTACCAAACTTTCTAGCATAGTAATGTTCTTTGTTCCAATGTCTGTATGTCTTCTATCCAATCTCGTATTTTTTATCATCACGGTGCATGGAGTTCATTCTACCAAGAAAGCAACATCGGTGCTAAAATCTGGCCAGGACTCTCACTTCAAACAATTGGCTGTTGAGCTCAGAATATATGTCAAGGTATGTTTCAAATTAAAGGGATTATTAAACGTATTTACTATAACACAAAGATCCCTATGCTATGCAGGAATAAATCGGGCAATCGGCCTAAACCTCTGACTACCCGGCGCCATATATTGTTTATCATCAATATTTGGGTCATTTGGGATTATGTATTTCTCTGTTCCGGCTATTGACGGTCAGTCGGTGTGGCTGAAGTAGAAAAGTCGATTAATTTTTGGAAACTTATTTACAGAAATTTTACACCAAAAACACGTTTACACCAAAACACCCCTAGGTTTAGAATATTGCGGATGGCGGTATAAAAAAAATACTATCTTGTCCGATTGTCCGCAATATATATATATATATATATATATATATATAAACCGGCAAAATATATTATGTCTTCATTTTAATGTCTGGATATTCAACACTGTCCTGCAAACTTCCAATTGAAATCTCTTTAAATAGATCTCAGCTCTTCTTGGATTCGCCTGGTTATTTGGGTTCTTAGCTATGGTCACCAATGTCCCCTTCATGGAATATCTCTTCATCATCGTCATCAGTCTCCAAGGCGTCTTCATTTTCATTTCATTTGGTACCAACATTCGAGTGAAGAAACTATGGCGAACATTTGTGGAGAACTCATCTCTCCTGTCTATGAGTAAATTCTCGCGAGGTAGTACTGGAGCACACGATGGACCTAAAAGTGAGAAACATTAAGCACTATTAATGTGTGAAAGAGATTAAATTTGCCTCATAACAATTTGACACGTTCTTTTATTTGGTATCATTGTTGTGACTGATGAAGTAAACAAAATTGTAGGAACTTTGTTGTCTGAATTCGTAATAGCGAGTGACTATTTGGAAGCCTTATTCATTATGTTCGCCGAAACGTTATGAAAAACAGATCGGATATGCCTATCTTCGAACTCTGACTTTCTAGTGAATGCCTTTCTAGCTTTCAAAGTCTCTTCAAAATTTTCTAGGTTAAGTTGTACTTGAGTCTGAAGCTTCAAAACTTCTGTTAACTGGTTATATTTTCTATAATGTATACAATTTTATATGTTGTTATAGTATATTATATTTCGTTATCCTGAATGCATACTCCATGACTACATTTTCGTTCGATCTACATACACAAGTTCCTGAATTGTTTTATCCGTGTTGAAAGAAGTCATTCTTTGATACAGTGTTAACGCCCCTCTGGCTCTCAGCACATGATACCATGGTATTGCTATATTTATATTGCATGTAACACTGATCGAAACAAAATGATCATTTTATATGACTTCTATAAATAATGTAATGTTTTGTCGGCTGGCCATTTGATCTGTATGCATAGTATTTATTTGGATAAATTTTTAATGTATGTCTGGTATTATTATTGTTGTGGGAATTATTGTTTTAAATGTTATTTACAGTCCGTATCTCGTTGTTACGTAGAAAAATTCGTTGATCTTTTTCATAAGACATAAAAGATACTCTTTTCATCGATAACTCCCTGCATACGAATACATACGAATATTTGTTCTTTATGCGTGAAAACAAAAATTGGGCAGAGTGTGTCAACGTGTTTGATCTTCCGGATATCCACAGTAAGACTGGAAAGGGGTTCTCGTTGGAATAAAAGGGCCAAACATTGAGGAAGAGCAACTGTTAAACCACATTATACTTATGATAAAATACGTTATTTTTGTGAACAGTGAATCTGATGATGAACCTCGATCCATCCTTCAAGATGTTTATTAAAAATATAGAATACTTTAGAATAAAAAAGAAGAAATAAAAATAGAGTTACCTTTGTGACGGTGCCGCATGGGTGTTTGCGAGTGGGTGGGTGAGTGTGTGTGGGCATTTGCGTGTAAAGGTTTGGGTGTGTGTATGTATGCGTGTGTAAGTTATTATGTGGGAGGGGAAAGACACATGTATAGTTAGTTTGAAGACATGGGTTGTTTTCCTATTTTTCAACTACTATATTAAACCAAACTTTTTTTTCTTTCAACACGGTAATCTACTTTTTCTTCTTCAGAAATTATATACTTTTAAATGGACACAGAAAATGGAGTCGGGAAATGAAGTCAGGGCCCAATCAACTTCCTTCCTCAGCTCTTTTGTAGACCTTCTCTTCTCCCTGTCTGTCCGTCCCACTCTCTCTCTCTCTCTCTCTCTCTCTCTCACATATATATATATAGCACACTCTTTATTTACTCTCGATCTATGCGTCTATATTTTTCTCGTGTTTGTTTTCTCTAAACCACTTCTCGCTCTCTCTCTCTCTCTCTTTCTCTCTCTTTCGGTCCTCTACCTCTCTATCCCCTATGCCTCCCCCTCTCTCTCTCTTTCGGTCCTCTCTCTCTCTGTATCCCCTATGCCTCCCTCTCTCTCTCTCTCTCTCTCTCTCTTTCTCTATTTCGGTCCTCTACCTCTGTTTCCCCTATGCCTCCCCCCCCCCCCTCTCTCTCTCTCTCTCTCTCTCTTTCGGTCCTCTATCTCTGTATCCCCTATGCCTCCCTCTTTTTCGGTCCTCTATCTCTGTATCCCCTATGCCTCCCTCTCTCTCTCTCTTTCGGTCCTCTACCTCTGTATCCCCTATGCCTCCCCCCTCTCTCTCTCTCTCTCTCTCTCTCTTTCGGCCCTCTATCTCTGTATCCCCTATGCCTCCCTCTTTTTCGGTCCTCTATCTCTGTATCCCCTATGCCTCCCCCCCCCCCCTCTCTCTCTCCCTCTCTCTCTCTTTCGGTCCTCTATCTCTGTATCCCCTATGCCTCCCTCTTTTTCGGTCCTCTACCTCTGTTTCCCCTATGCCTCCCCCCTCTCTCTCTCTTTCTCTCTCTCTCTTTCGGTCCTCTATCTCTGTATCCCCTATGCCTCCCTCTTTTTCGGTCCTCTATCTCTGTATCCCCTATGCCTCCCTCTCTCTCTCTCTCTCTCTTTCGGTCCTCTACCTTTGTATACCCTATGCCTCCCCCCTCTCTCTCTCTCTCTCTCTCTCTCTCTCTCTCTTTCGGTCCTCTATCTCTGTATCCCCTATGCCTCCCTCTCTCTCTCTCTTTCGGTCCTCTACCTCTGTTTCCCCTATGCCTCCCCCCTCTCTCTCTCTCTCTCTCTCTCTCTCTTTCGGTCCTCTATCTCTGTATCCCCTATGCCTCCCTCTCTCTCTCTCTTTCGGTCCTCTACCTCTGTTTCCCCTATGCCTCCCCCCCTCTCTCTCTCTCTCTCTGTCTCTCTCTTTCGGTCCTCTATCTCTGTATCCCCTATGCCTCCCTCTTTTTCGGTCCTCTATCTCTGTATCCCCTATGCCTCCCTCTCTCTCTCTCTTTCGGTCCTCTACCTCTGTATCCCCTATGCCTCCCCCCTCTCTCTCTCTCCCCCCGTCTCTCATGGTAAAGTTGTTGTCCACTTTTTGCATTTAGAGCCCCTCCCCTTTCTGGTCACTCAATTATGAGACTGTGACATTTTCATGCACTTTGAATAGGAAAATGACAACAACTTTACCCATTACCAGGTTGAAAAAATGGTAAAGTTGTGACACAGGTTTTTTCACCATGATTTGACATTGAAAAGTCAAGAGAATATAATTTTTGCAGAGGGAATAATCCATTCCCTTATAAAATTACTATGATACAGTAATCCACTTTTATTCCCTCTCCAAATTTGAAAAAGTGTCCTCTTTAACATAATACTAGACAACCCCTAATGTGACCAACATAGTGAAGCAAATGTAAAAAATTGTTTTTCCTTCTACTTGAAAGATCAAACTTTTTTTTCACTTAATCTTATCACACATTGTTCTATTTTGGTATTAGTACTTAGATAATATATTTATGAAAGTAATTTAACAGTTTGTATGTTGATGTAAACAGCGATATTTTTTTAAATAATTTTTTCTCAATGGAATTTATTGGGCATCATAGTCATTTTCTCCAGAAAATATGACCATAACATGGTAAAGTTGTTTCACAGGAACCAGTCAATTCTACAGTTTTCTTCAATGTCATTGCTCATTTATATAGAAAATATCAATCATATAGCCTCAACAAAAAAAATTACCCTAAAAAACAACAATTTTGACTCTAAAACTCTAACCCTAATCGTGTTACTTGAAAATTTCGCCTTTGTTTTCTATTGTTTAGTTCACTATTTTGGTAAATGTGTGCCAGATAAAAATGACAGTAAAATGCAAATAATACAGGGAAATGCCCTATTATCAAGATTTCCTATATTTTGAATATCAACATTTAATGAAAATGATCATCCCATCCTCCTAAAGCTTAAAAGTAGTAGAGAAAATATGTTCTCACTTTTTCATTTTTTAAAGTCCCCAAAAAATAATTATAGCGCCCTCTACTGCCACCAAAAGTTTTCTAAAGTAATGCCTTCTACTTTTTGTATTAACTATTCTTTTATTCTTATAATGTGTGTAAATAACACCAGTCAATAATACTACATGCTGCATTTTAGTAACATGTGTATCATTTTCATAGCATTGAATTTTTCATTATTCAAGATTGATAATAATCACATCTACAAACAGTTTTAATCTCTTTTATTTAAAAAAATACATGTAATTTAAACAATTTCTCATACGGTGATAGTTTTCTATCCCTTATTTTTTTTTCCCCTTCAAAGCAAGCATTATGCTTTATAATAACTACTGGACACCCATGGCTTTTAAATACTGTATAGCGGAACTTGAAATTGAGGAATAATGCCTTTTAAAAAACGGCAGTGAAGCTAGAGGGGGCAGAGAAGGGAGCCTGTGCCCCCCCCCCCCCCTTCTCGTCCTATGCCACTACAAAAGTACAATTAACATACAGATTCAGTTTGCAACCCAAAATCTGAGTTATTTGTACAGCGCATTTGAACATGTATATGGAAAATACGCTATATAAATTCAGTATTATTATAATTATTATTATTATTTGAACACTGTTCAGCCACTGATCCATCAAGCCCCAAATAATGTAGGCCCAATGTTCATTTCTGTTAGTAATGTACCAATCAATAATAGTTGATAAAAACATTTCAAAATCTTTATCTGCATAATTACATTATTTCCTCTTTGATGACCACCCCCCCCCCCACATAGTCTTTACAAAAATCACGACTTTTGTTGTTGTTTTGTTCCTGTCACATAATGTTCTTGAAGGTATATCTGCTTTATTTGCATCTTATATGTATGCCTAACAACCAATAAGGAGGGCAACAGAAATGAATATTTATCACCACTATTGGTTGTTGTTCTTGTTGATATTTCATTATGTATCACACTGTTAATGTTTGATTTTTATGTTCCTGGAAATCATATTAATAATTAAGTAAACTAAATCAATCAATCAATCAATCAATCAAAATCATCATCACCCTCATAATTATCATTATCTATTAGATTATCTGATCAACAGCATATCTCACAAAATGAGATATGTCGATTAAGAGATTTGATTTGTATTGTAACTTGAAAAACCATTCTGCTAAATAATAGTACACCATGCAAATGCAATGTTTGGTGAAATTTTCATCTTCAACACACAATCAACATGAGCATCATCTTCACGATCATCAGATTATCACAATCATTCCCATCACCATAGCCATCTTCACTACCAACACTTATGTCATCATAAACGACATTAGGATATGTAGAACAAGTAATATACAAAAGATGTTATATTTGTTTTAAACATATTGCATTGTGTAATGTTTTTAATGGTTGAATGACAAACAAAAATATATAACAGTATAAAGCGGTCACAGTCATAACTTTTTAGACAGTTTTCATATTAAGCATAACAAAAACAAGGGTTAACAATTGTAGCCGAAAAAACCCACAGAGCTTTACCAAAAATGTTCATTTACATTCACAGTAACGAAAGAAACAGAATCTGTTTTTTGCGGTTATTTGAGATTTAATAGAGGATGTTTTCTTGTTACCCTGAATATCAACATCATGACAATAACAACAATTACAACACAAACTTTCCCAACTGAATATAATAATAATATCAAATATTTAGGAGCGCTAAAAACAATAAGTACCATAGCGCTTACAAATACATATATATATGAAAAGAGGACAACAAAATGTTCTCACGTGAAGTAGATCCCATAGATCACTGGGGAAAAGGGTAAGTTTTGAGGGATCTTTTGAAGGTGGCAAGACAGGTAATTTCCCTTATAGAAAGAGGGATGTTGTTCCAAGTCTTTAATGCAGCTACTGCAAAACGTTTTTCAGCTGTTGAGAGTCTAGATTTGGGAATGATAAGTTTACATGCGTCGGCTGCTGAGCAAAGATTCCGAGATGGTGTAATGTGTATATATACAAGGATAAACCGTTGTCGTACTTTGACTTTACATGTTACACTGCTACAATCCACCCCTAGGAAGGACCCAGGTATTAATTTTTCGATCCATTTATACAAGTATCTGCATATGCATACATTGGAGCATGGAGCTACCATGTCCAACTCTAAGTACTCTCTGCATCGTGGCCACCAACAGACAAGACTTTTGTACACACCCCCCCCCCCCCCCCCCCCCCCCGGCCATAAAAAAGGCGACACTACTCCGTGCATTGAACAGGCGAACAGTATTACTTTCTTGCCCGGACCAGGGAATACAGGTTATACATGTACATACCCCCCCCCCCCCCCCCCCCTTGCATAGAAGGCAAATAGGTCCCTGCATTGAACAGGCAAACAGATGAAAATACAATGCCATTTTATTTTGTTGACAAGCGACAGATTCCTTAGTGTTACATGATTAATTGTTTGTAGAAAGCCTTCGCTGAGCATCCTAGGGGTCCTTCCTAGACATCGGGTCATACACAGCATTGGTCTATAAGGAATAGAAAATGAATTATATGTTAATTTCAATTTATGCACCATATAAAAAATGTACTTCTATGATTCAATTATATGTATTATTTTGTTCATATAATGGCGAGTTTGACCTCATTCCAAGTAGCAACAGCTAACTATGAAATGGACTTGAAGGGTGTTTTACAAAGAGTTAAGTTTGACTTAAAGTCATACGTAAGGGCCAATTTGCATACGTTATTAAACGCAAAATCTCATTGGTAGATTAGGCAACTAGGACTTTAAGTGCCACTTTAAAGGTAAATGTCCCATTTGCAGGCCAAATAAATGAAAAGATTAAATTCCAATGGCATTTGGAAGATATTACTAATTTATAACTTCTGTCAAAAGTAAAGGGCTTGAAAATGCCTTTTTGTGGGAAAATAACGACGATTAGTTGTCAAATCGACATTAGAGATTGCAATCACTGAAGTAAATTGTCTGATTTTCAGACCCTTGTACCGAATGGTCATATAATTTGTGCTGCACAGAGACCAGATCAGTTTAATTTTGGCCATTATAAGAAGTGGGTTATTGATGTAGACAAATGCTGCATGTTACAGCTCATTTATGTACTATGTTATTACCAAAGAAAAAAGAAGTCAGTCTGATCAGTCACTCAATGGTGTCCGACAGTGAAGTCTATAAAGTAAACGGGTTTCCTTACATAATTTGAATACTAGGACTTTGCTAACGTTTAAATTTCACATATAGGACATACTGTACATGCCATATTCATGATTCCTGCAATGTTCTACATAATTTGATGTTGGTTGCAAAAGGGACACATAAGTCAAACTTAACTCTTTGGGAAACACACCCCTGATATTGTATAGGAGGCAGTCATAGTAGACCAGTTTAAAAACAGACTGAAAATTCACTTTTACTAAAGTGCATAGGGACTGAAAAGTGATATGAGCTATACAAATACAGTTTATTATTATCATTATCTATGCATCTAATACTTCACATAATTTAGCTGTAGTATATGACAATTATTATGCTTACCAATGCTCGAAATGGCCTTTTCTTCATCTTGGACGCATTTGAAAGGGCAGCCTGTAAAATGAGCTTGATCATTGTCTGCTCTCCATCTGGTTAGAGGAGTCTACGCTGACACGTTGTGTGCTGAAAGAAATGTGGAAAATATAATTTCTTACTCCTCAAAAAATAGATTTCTGTTTCTTTCCAATACTTAAAGGGATCCGGTAACTTTGTCTCAGATTCTGAAACAAAATCCTGGAATTAGCTCATGCTGCAATGATAATTATAAACCTTTAGGTCAGTAAGGAACCCCCAAGGCTTTTACAAGCCGATCGCTTGTCTGATTATCAAGATGTTTATGATTGGAATTACAAATTTTGACACTACAGTCTATTGGGGAAAACGAGTGATGATTTTGAAGCGTGATTCTTTTAGGGCTTCAATATTACACCATATCACAGACACTGATAACATGTAGGGCCGTGCATCTCAGATTTAACATTGTTAAACGATGCCTTTAAAGTACCTACATACATATGCATGTATCTACTAGCAGTGACATTTGTTTACATGGCAAGTAATTTTTTCTTCTAAGTTTGGCGTAACAGAATTTTTGTTTACATTTTATCCCACAGAGTACCTAACATTTCATTCAAATAAATCTTACACACTGTACAAAAAAAATTCCTCTACAATATTTGTAAGTAGGATGGAAAAGACAGACAATTGCCCATTACAAATGTTTTATAGGAAATGTGTATAACAAAAAGAAAAATTATGCTTACATTTTCTTGGAAAGCAAAATTATTAATCATTTGAATATTGTTTTGGACTATTTATCATCTACAAGAAAGTTACAATCCACGTCTCATTTAAACACACTTTATTGTGGATATACAGTGTACTTTATAGAAAACAGCCCTACATGTATTTCAGGTTCCCCCAGTATCTATACTAAGGTGAGTTTTGAGAGCTTTTGTCACATAAGATTAAACTTGTTTACAAAATGCTGCCCTAATTTGGCAAAAGGAACAAGTGACAACAGTGACATTTCATGTAAAAGAGTAAAAGAGCAAAATGCATCTGTCATTTACACTGACCCCAATGCAATAGCATGTCTTGCCTAACATATCTCTAAGCAGGACGAGTGTTCATGCATAAAATTTGGCCAGGAAGAAGAGCCCACTAGGTATAATATGTCTTTGCTTCCTTTTGACAAAGCAGGGCAGAATGTTTATTGGACAGTTAAGGATGTACAGTGTTTGGTTTCTACAAGCTGGTCTATAAGTACTGACAAATGTTTACAAGTTTAGGTACATTACTACATTTTAAATCTAAACTTATGATAAATCCATTTTAATCACACTCCCAAGTGTGATTTACTTACATGTGACTTTGTTGTGCTCAATTATATTAAATTGTGACAATTTCATAATTTTCTTGATATCCAAACATCCTGCAAGAAATACATATTCCCCAAAAAGATAAGTTGCAAAAGTCTGCCCAAATAAATATTTCAATACCTTTTCAAGAAATTCCTTAGAAAATATCTATAGCTGATGGTTTCTTCTATTAAGTTAAAAGAAATGAGTTTTCAAGAAATAAATTTCACTAATTTCTCATGCTCAAATAATATAGAAATCAAAAGATAAAAAACTTTTAGGACAGTGGGAAGGGAACTATATTGTCATGGAAACATTTTTTTATTTTTAAAATTAACTGTAGGGTGTCCTGTCATATATTAGCTATAATGACTGGATAAATTTGCATAGGGAACAATAGGGATTTTTTTCTTCTCATTTAATAACGTATCAAGATAATTCTTTCAAGCTTACCACAACTGCTTCCCCAATACTCGGTTGCCAACTTTGTACAACAGTAAGCTGTAAACGAAGAGGGAAAACATGAAATCAGTATAATTGCATTAAATTCATAACATTCTATTTTGTTGCTTCTTATTTGAGTGTGATCAGTTAAGGGTGAGCATTCTGTCTTACAGAGAAGAAAAAAGTTATCATAAGATCAATTCAAAGCCTATCACTACCTTGAAATTCATTAAAGTTGTTATTTCAATAGGTAAAATGCTTTTTTCTTGGGTCAAACTCATTGAATGTTAATGACTGATGATATAAGGTAAATACATACAAACAAATTGGGAACCAGTGCATTGCCTAATAATTTCCATATGTCACACCACTGTTCACATCATAACTTGCCTCAATTGCTTTTGTTAGGAATTATTGACCTAAGTTACATTAATTGCTTGCAGAAAAATACTTCTTTAACATTTATGGAAAAAATAAATTACACATTGTGCAGTTTTAATTAGTTTAGGACATATACTAAGTTTGTCTGTATTGACTACTCAATTATGAAAGGTGTACTGTTCATTGCAAGTACGTGTAGTTAAAAATGCTTATGTGATCTAACAGAGTAAAATATGAAGCTAATAGCAATTGTAGTCATCAAAACTCCTTAGAAAATTCACTTACAAACATAACTCTCTTTTGCATGTTATGAAAGACAGGGTACAATGTATTCTATGGTTTATTTTGGATGTTACACAATGTTAACATTTCAATCAGATCATCAATTTCTACAAACTCTACACTATAGATGTTTAATCAGCTTGCTTTGTTCTTTGCTATAAACTACATGTACAATGTGTCATTCAAGAATATCACTGAAACATACATGTATGAACAAGCAAAACATTAACAATTACAACAACAACAAAATGTAAAAAGTTTCCCGGCCATTTTAAGTTTTAGAAAAAGGGAATCCTAATGCATTGTTCATCCTGAGAATTGGACATTTTACATGTATTTTGTATGTTTCAGGTTTTAATACTAGTTAGTAACAATAACGCTCTTAATCTTAATATGTATTTATCTATTTACTTGATGACCGATGGATGGATGGATGGATTGATTGGTTCGTTGATTGATCTTTACTCTTGCTGTGCCGATATCATAAGTGACAAACAGTTTAGGTTAAACATGTATCTTAGATTGCACATTGCTCCAACATGTATTTGGATACCAAGATATTCAGAGCATAAATCAATCATTCTAGTTATCTGTGAAATGTGAAATATAATACATTATAGATTCATAAAAACATTTGTTTTCTTCTTGATCTTTCAAATTTCTCTGTTTGACAATAAACAATGGTTAAATAAGCAAGAGAAAAAGGACAAGCAGTATTAAAGCCCATTTACATGTATATTTCACACTGCATGTACCTTATAAATGTACAAAATACATTTGAGGAAGATACAATATATATGTTTAGGATCATTGAATAAGGTATTAATGCTGTTTTCTTTTATACATGTACATGTATGTAAATCTTGTTGGAAGGGTCAAGCGTTTGAAAGGTATTTGTCATTAGTACATGTGAGGGTAATGAAATGAAAGGAAAAATTTATGAATAAATTCATTTTGAAGAGGCTTCACCTTATTGCCCCCACAAATTGGTAATCCCTTTTCTTGTAATTTGGAAATTTGGCAGAATTACAGCCACATGAACATGTGTTTTACAAGTTTCTCTAATAGGAAATGGATACTAGAACTGATTATTGTTTTATGAATACATACTGTAAGCCCTTGTGCTAATCAATTGTATTTGTACATGTACATGTATGCAACCAATGAGTGTGTCTTGTAGAGTGCAAGCCTATTTCATAACATTTCTTGATAAATTGTTATCATTTAAGAGAAGGTTCATTGATTTTCAAAACTAACTTTATTGCAAAGCTAGGTGAAACTTTAATTGGACAAGGTTATCAAAATTCAATGCTTGGAAACATTTGAAGTAAGGATTATTATCAATTACAAAGCGCTTAAATACAGCCCCGGCATAGCACCTGAAGAGCTCTCTGAACACTTGAGATGTGTGACGTCACATTTTGAATATGATTTGCTCAAGCAGACGCTGTCCCATGACATCTCAAACATTTTCATTGCCTGTTTTTTCATCTTCTCTTCAGTTATTTCTCTCACTTCACTACCCTCAGGCTAAATGTTTAATCTATTGCCTCACTCTAAACCTCGTGCATGGTATTATTTTGATAAAAAATGCAGCGATTTAAAAATTAAGGAATCCATGTAACAAAAATAAGACGCCATTTTATTTTCAGCTGCATCCACGGTGGTATGTTCGGCATTTCAAGAGGAAATTTTTATAAATCACCCGATATGGAGTTGACCTCAAACTTGTACGATGGCCATCTGTTAGCTTACCAGTTTCTAGTGATACATAATTTGCCATATATATATATATACGGACTTACAGATATATGTGATTTTCTTTGAACAGGCACTGTGAATGCAAATTTAAGTATTGAATAATGGCAGTAGTAATCCTTTCTACATAGATTAGTTACATGTACTTGGTGCTTTTTTAAAAGATATTGTAATATATTTTTAGATTTTAAGCTGGCTTTCGATTCAATCAACCATGATATTCTTCCTTTCAAAACTTTATTGTTATGGAATTCGTGGAGTTACCCTCAAATTTATTTTGCAGTTATCTAAATGATAGAAAACAATTCACTGTTTTCGATTCTAAAACTTCAAGTTTACAGTCAGTTTCCTGTGGAATTCCGCAGGGGTCAATTATAGGCCCCCTGCTCTTTTAAATTCATTTAAATTATTTACATTCAGTCTCTCCCATTTTGAATTTTATACTGTTCACGGACGATACCAATATATTTTATAAGCATAAAGATGTCGAATGCCTGACCCAAAATCTGAACAATGAACTCCTAAAAGTTAGTGAGTGGATAAGCGCAAATAAACTGCAAATGTTATGTTGTTTTACTTTCCAAAGATGTGTGCTAGTGAAGTAAAAATATATATGAATGGGAATTTGATTAAACATACAAATTTAACAAAGTTCTTAATATTGATAAAGATAAAGTGGAAAGCACACGTCTATGAAGTTCTATGCAAAGTGTCTAGAACAATAGGAACTATGAGTAAACTAAAAGACATCTTGCCAACCAATATTCTTACAATGTTATACAACTCACTAATCTTGCTTTACATATCCTACTGTAACATTATATGGCTTTTTGTAAACAACATTTACTTGATCATATTTTCCTCACTAATCTTGCTTTACATATATCCTACTGTAACATTATATAGGGGTTTTGTAAACAACATTTACTTGATCATAATTTGCTTGATTTTATCACACTTATATATCTGTAGCATATCCATGTCATGTACACTGGGTATTGTTTAAGTGGGTGATTTTGAGCTTTTGGTTATCTACCAAATAGTTTAAATTGACCATCTACATTCTTTGGTTATATGACATCATTTGGAACACCCTCTATGAAAATGAAAACCTGATGATTTGCAAACACACAACAATAAAAATATCAAGAGGAGAGGTTGAAAAATTGAAATCTTACATCTATATTTGCCCCTCATTTAAACTACTGTAGTTAAAGTATGAAAATGTCTGTTAAGTGTTAACAGTCTAATGTAACGTCCGAAACGTGCTAACAGCATACCAGAAAGTGCTGTTAAAATGGCTGAATAATTTTTACGAGTCCCTTTTGTTGAGATTTTTTCAGATAAAGTACAATTATGGATTTACTGTTTAAAGCAGCAAGCAATGCCTTGCATCACAAAGTGTGGCTTCAATATTGTATGTTTTATAAATCAATTTCGCAGAAAGTTGAGATATTTTACAGAAAATTTGATTTACTTTTTTAGCATCATATTTCTTAATATCTTTATATTCAAACCTATATAAAGTTATCAAAATAGTTTCCTTAACAGGAGTGTTCATTGTGAAATCGTAACTTGCAGATATGATCAAAAATGGTGTTAACAATGAAATTGTGTAATGTCCGAAACAGCCTTCTTGTGCTTACACAAAAATGATTGGATAAGAAAGACCTGATTTGTGTTTAGACTTGTGTTAAGACTTATGATAACTCATTTAATAAACATTTATGAACTCCAGATATCCTAAAATATGGATTATCATCATTAAAATGGTATTTCTTGATTTAGACATTAAAAGTAAACTGTTAAAGAAAATTGGTTTTAACTTTAAAATAAATATTGTAATGATGCATTGCAAAATTTCTTTGTTTTGGTGGTTAGCTGCCTTGAGATGTTCAAAAATGTTATGATAGATAGTTCCTGCAGTTCATATCTTCTGCTACCTCTAATGAAAATTGTTTCGGACGTTGAGACAACTTTTTCAATTTTTGACTTTATTTCTAATATGCACTACTATAATTTGATTTCATTTCATTTTCATAGAATCACTTGGAGTAACTAATAAGCTTATTCAAACTATATACAATCTCATTAATTTATTTTTCTAGTGAGTTAATTGGGGATCTACATTGTTTACAGAAAATGTAACATCTGAAGCAACATTTTCAATTGTACTGTTCCATCAAAATACAGGAGATGATTCAGATTACTGTTAACCTTCTTTAAAGTCCCTGTTCAAAGAAAATCACAAATATATGGCAAATAACGCTTCACTAGAAACTGGTAAGCTAACAGATGGCCATCGTACAAGTTTGAGGTCGACTGCATATCGGGTGATTTATAAAAATACATATAAAACCACCTCCATTGCATCTGGGATATACGAGATATTCGCCAGAAAAATAACGATGTTTTAATGATGTCACATTATGAACCATCCCTGCCCAAGCAGACGACATCCCACAAAAAATGAACATAATTGCAATGCTATTATTTCTCAAATTATAATGAGTTTAGTGAATATAAATGTGATGGCATTTGACACCATTCAAAAAGGGGTATGAAACCGATTCTAAATTCTTTTATTTGTAAATACACAGGATAGGGGTTAATGATCAATCAAAGAAACCACACTTTCAAATTGAAAAAAACCCTGAATGATAGCATGGACAGCATATGTTCCCTTTTGAAACGCCGAACTACCACAGTGTATATGCAGCTGAAAATACAATGGCATCTTATTTTGTTTACAAGCAATGGATCACTTTATTTAAGCGTTTTGTAACTGATAATAATCGTTACTTTGAATGTTTCCAAGCTTTGAATTTTGATAACCTTGTCCAATCAAAGTTTCACCTTTGCAATAATGACAATAAAGTTAGTTTTTAAAATCAATGAACCTTCTCTTTAAGATCCAATTATGCTCATTAATCATCAATAGAAAATAATCATATTGTTTGTAGCTACATATTTTTTTCAGCTCCAACCAAAAATGGTATGTCAATTTTGTTACAAAATTCTGTAAACAATTTGCTGTTCAGGGATACCTCATGCACATAAAGCAAAGTTGACAATTTTTCATCAAGCTATGGGAGGTCAATCTAGGTCCATACTACAAGAAAAATTGGCAACTGATTTCTAATACTTTATCTTTGAAAAGTTTCAGGCTCTCAAAGAGCCATTTAGCTATTTGGTTTTTAAGAAAACAGTGAGTGCCTTATAAAATCTAAAGTTTTTTTGGAAATTCTGAATATATCTGATAGGGAAGTCAATTTCCCTGACTAACATTGGCAAGTGATTGTATTAGACAAGTTCATGATGTTCTTATATGAAGAGCAAAAGAGTACTGGGAAGTCAACACAAGATTTCTATCTCCCACTTTGAGAGACTGAGAATATCACTGATTCTTATTTGAATAAGTAATGATGGGAACTTAACTTTATCAATTATCAGTACACCTGTGATACCCTCCACAATATATCCTAAAACAATCCATCATATCTAATTATGTCTTACAGGCCTTCCAACTACAAATAGTTCTTTGACATTAACTAATCACATTGATAAATGTGAAGATAAATTGCAATCACAATTTGTGAAACAAAATCACCATGATAATGTCAAAACTGTGGACAACTAGGTTTATGAAAATTACATAAGTGAGCTTCAAAGCTTTTGAAATAAAAGAGAGAGCATTTTGAGAGTTCACATCAGGCAACCAGAGGCTGCATAACAATGGGCCTGGAAGTAGGTGTGGATGGGGGGGGGGGGGGGCTCATTTGTACACCAAACAAAAAGGTCCCCCATCCACACTTATATAGTCCGAGCTCGATGCTTGGCTGCACTTGCAACATATTTTAATTTGCAAAAGCAAAAAACAAAAGATTGCCCTTAAAGAATAAATGGCCCTTTTTACATCATTCAAAACAGCTATATTGATGAGAATGGGACATTATTGGCATTAACTGCCTGAACATCATTAAAAACACAATCCATCTTCAAAAGTAAAGAAGAATTCACTGTTGACAATAACAGTGTTGTATAAAACATTTTGCTTTTGGACATATTTAGGATTGCTGTATATTCCATGAGAAAACATCATTAAAAATAGGCATCATTGCAGGGGGGGGGGGGGATTCCCTTTGTAAACATACTGTAAGTAAATTAGAGCAGTAAATGAAAATGAGGAATATCGGTGCTCAAACCTGACTTGCAGAACTTTTTATGAGGGGTATTTACATATCAATACACTAGCCAGAAACTTACCACAATCAAATCGCTTCTTGATCCAGAAGGAACATCCTTACATCCAGGCTCCTATTTGTAGGACATAAACAAAAATGACAGGGGCATCGTTCATGGCAGGTAATACAAATGGAAGTAAACATTAGAAAATCATAAGTTTGAAAACAATTTATAGGTAACGTTGTACAATGTAATTCTTAGTTAAAGAATTTCATTTCATTTCATTGATTGGTTCAACCATTTTTTTTAAAACAAACATTCAAAACTACAAGCTCGAAGGCTTGACTGCACCTGCAACATATTTTAATTTGCAAAAGCAATAACAAAAAGGAGCTGATATGCTTTAAAAGACAAACAAATTCAATAGGAATAAAGTGAAAGGACATGAAGATTTAAGGTACATAAAATGTTTGAAAGAGTTACAAAGACCTACTCTCAGGATTACTATTTTAAGTTTTAAGAGTCACATACAAATAAATATTCATAAATCAAGTTTGACTGATGATGTCTCTCGTATAACAATATCCTTGAATTTGGTGTGAATTTAAATGGTGTTTATTCCCCTTCATAATGATGCCCCATTTGTAATGATTATCTGTATGTAATCATGGAATGTGCAATAAACATGAGTCTAAGGCAAAATTAAAAGTGAAATGTTGCAAAATGCATTGTAATTGTCAGGAAAGCATTCTCCATTTGTTTGAAAGATGTTGAGGCCTTGCAAAGTAATTATATGCAGGACTAAAAGCTGTAAACTGACAGACTTGCAACAAATGTATGATGTACTCAAACACAATGCAACAAATGTATGATACTCAAACACAATGACAATTTCTCAATTAGCTGATTACAAATGCATTTCATCTTTATACAAACAAAGTTTAAAAACAAGATTGCCCTTAAAGAATAAATGGCCATTTTCACATCATTCAAAACAGCTATATTAATGAGAATGGGACATTATTGGCATTAACTACCTGAACATCATTAAAAACACAATCCATCTACAAAAGTAAAGAAGAATTCACTGTTGACAATAACAGTGTTGTATAAAACATTTTGCTTTTGGACATATTTAGGATTGCTGTATATTCCATGAGAAAACATCATTAAAAATAGGCATCATTGCAGGGGGGGGGGGGTTCCCTTCGTAAACATAAGTAAATTAGAGCAGTAAATGAAAATGAGGAATATCAGTGCTCAAACCCGACTTGCATAACTTTTTTATGAGGGGTATTTACATATCAATACACTAGCCAGAAACTTACCACAATCAAATCGCTTCTTGATCCAGAAGGAACATCCTTACATCCAGGCTCCTATTTGTAGGACATAAACAAAAATGACAGGGGCATCGTTCATGGCAGGTAATACAAATGGAAGTAAACATTAGAAAATCATAAGTTTGAAAACAATTTATAGGTAACGTTGTACAATGTAATTCTTAGTTAAAGAATTTCATTTCATTTCATTGATTGGTTCAACCATTTTTTTAAAAACAAACATTCAAAATTACAAGCTCGAAGGCTTGACTGCACCTGCAACATATTTTAATTTGCAAAAGCAATAACAAAAAGGAGCTGATATGCTTTAAAAGACAAACAAATTCAATTGGAATAAAGTGAAAGGACATGAAGATTTAAGGTACATAAAATGTTTGAAAGAGTTACAAAGACCTACTCTCAGGATTACTATTTTAAGTTTTAAGAGTCACATACAAATAAATGTTCATAAATCAAGTTTGACTGATGATGTCTCTCGTATAACAATATCCTTGAATTTGGTGTGAATTTAAATGGTGTTTATTCCCCTTCATAATGATGCCCCATTTGTAATGATTATCTGTATGCAATCATGGAATGTGCAACAAACATGAGTCTAAGGCAAAATTAAAAGTGAAATGTTGCAAAATGCATTGTAATTGTCAGGAACGCATTCTACATTTGTTTGAAAGATGTTGAGGCCTTGCAAAGTAATTATATGCAGGACTAAAAGCTGTAAACTGACAGACTTGCAACAAATGTATGATGTACTCAAACACAATGCAACAAATGTATGATACTCAAACACAATGACAATTTCTCAATCAGCTGATTACAAATGCATTTCATCTTACAAACAAAGTTTAAAAACAAGATTGCCCTTAAAGAATAAATGGCCATTTTCACATCATTTAAAACAGCTTTATTAATGAGAATGGGACATTATTGGCATTAACTACCTGAACATCATTAAAAACACAATCCATCTTCAAAAGTAAAGAAGAATTCACTGTTGACAATAACAGTGTTGTATAAAGCATTTTGCTTTTGGATATATTTAGGATTGCTGTTTATTCCATGAGAAAACATCATTAAAAATAGGCATCATTGCAGGGGGGGGGGGGGATTCCCTTCGTAAACATAAGTAAATTAGAGCAGTAAATGAAAATGAGGAATATCAGTGCTCAAACCTGACTTGCAGAACTTTTTATGAGGGGTATTTACATATCAATACACTAGCCAGAAACTTACCACAATCAAATCGCTTCTTGATCCAGAAGGAACATCCTTACATCCAGGCTCCTATTTGTAGGACATAAACAAAAATGACAGGGGCATCGTTCATGGCAGGTAATACAAATGGAAGTAAACATTAGAAAATCATAAGTTTGAAAACAATTTATAGGTCATGTTGTACAATGTAATTATTGTTACAAGAATATCATTTCATTTCATTGATTGGTTCGACCATTTTTTTAAAACAAACATTTAAAATTACAAACGATGTTCGAAAGATATATTCAAAACATATTTGACATACAAAGTAAAAATGGTAGAATCATTGACATATAGTAAAGACGTGCTTAAGGATATGTCAGGAGGAATAGGGTTCCAAATAACAGAAAAATTGTTTCTTACAGATTTAAAAAATATAGTTGTTTCCTGGCCAAAATTTAAATGAGTCTCGCCCACGAGTATTATAATAATGAACATCATTAAAACACCAGAAAGCAATCAGTGAAAACTGAAGAAAAAGGGAAGTGTAAAATACAAGCAGTTATGAAATTTGAAAGTATGCTCAATTAATCAGAAGTTGGATATCTGCAAAATATTTTAAAGTCTACAATTTTTTGGGTAGAGAAATAGTCATCAATTTCTACTTGTTTTCCAAAAAATCATTTTCTAGCACCTTGTCCTATTGAACCAGGGAGTGCCTACTAACTCTTGATTATGTTGATCTTTCTTTAAAATAGATCTATTCCTTTGATCAATTAAGGATGGTTGTGTTGTGATAATTAATGGGAAGGCTTCTCACAAGAGAAAACATATAATTACAAAGTATTGTGTTTAACTCATCAACTTGAAAACTTTAACATGTCTTAAATGTCTTAGCTTTTATATAGAGTTCCCTTTAGATTTCACTATTTTGTTTCTTGCTTTTTTTTAAACCAACATAATAACAAGATGGACATCCACTTTCATGACTGGTGTTACATACAGGTACTTCCCTATTTTAAAAATCATTATCCTTATTGACAGAACTGTAAGCGATGTCAGAAAAACAAAACTTGTTCAACCTAAACAACAAGGAAGTCTACAGCTTTTTCAGGCTGGGGCAAAGACTGAGGTGTTACAGATACAAACAAAAAGCCAGATTCCTAACTTACAATACAAATTAAAAATAGAAAAGGACTTTCATTTGTGTAAAAAAAATTGGCAAACTTACAGTGCTAGTTGACACTCTCTTGGAAGAACAGCTCTGGAATCACTGGGAGCACCTCCATTCGTAATTCTCATCTCATTCATCTGCTAAGAGACAATGACCAAAACTTGTACATTCAAGAGATGCCTTAAATTTACATTACCTTAGTTTTAGCATAAACATCAAATTTTTCTTTTAAAATTGAAACCAATTATGTCATGTAGTGATTATTGAGCATTACTGGTATGACTCCAAACTTTAATAGCGCTCAGCAAGTTCAGCAAGCTCAGCAAAATAAAGTTGGAACTAAAGTTGATTAAAAATGGTAGTTTTAATTATTAAAATAGAAAACCAACATACTATTAAAAATACAAATTAGATAAATTGGAATGGTTTCTGTGACTAAATAATTCTGAAATTCATAAGATACATCTAAATTAGACTCTAGACCCAACTCCACTTCTCAACTAAATCTACAAACACCCAGTATGGGCACATCCTAGGTATTTACATGTATTCAGTATGTTATTGAGGTTTTATCAAGCTGATGGCCATGCCCTTACTCGCACTAATGTAGCCAGGGGACAGGGCGACACATGCCTCCTTAATAATGCTTTTGGATAAAACTTATTTGTTGTTGTTGGTTTTTATGGCGTTTTCCATAGTCATTGGTAACATTGGTAAACCAAACTGACGTTATTGGTACAACAAACTGACAGAATGCAACACACATACCAACAAAAGGTATAATTTACAAACAAAAATGGTAGAAGAAATACCATTTTCCAGTTGTGAATGTGTGAAAATTATCACAACTCTCTTGATTCACTCACACAGAATTGTTATCTTTAGTCAGTTGTAAAATGTGTCTGCCAATTTTATTTTGATTATATTTGGTTATATTTACATTTAGGTCCAAAGGATGAACAGGACAACATGATATGAGCTTAAAACTTAAGCATCATGCTCTGTTATTACATGTAGCTTTGGAAAAATTGTCAGAAAATTGATTATGATGTACCCACATCATGTGTGATTTACCAACAACAACAGTTAAAGAATACATTTTCAAACGGTAAAGTGTAAAATTGTCTCAACCTGCTTCCTTTGCTCACTTAAACAAAATGTACTTCCTGTCCTCCATCTGAATGAAATTTCTTTCAAGTTTGATGGAGTTCCAAAGGACCAACAGAAACAGAGTTTACTAATGTATACCTAGCTTGATAATGAGCATAATTAATACAAGACCTGTTTGACAGTAATTAATTAAACCTGCAGTAAAGATGTGAAACAGGCAGGAAATCAGAGGACAATGATATTCTGGAATTAGATGACTTCCCTAAGCTGGGGGATGCAAAACCTCCCACTCCCTTCCCTTCCCCCAATTCAGGGCAACCAGCTCATATTAAGGCAGCAATTACTTGCCTTTAGCCACTTTTATTGGGTTTTCATAATTTGTTGATAAGATATCAAACATAAATCAAGTCAATCAAACAAAAAACAAACAAAATGCAGCAATACAACAGCATACAACGAAAACAGTGCTTCGTAACTATCTACATGTAATAAAAGCAGTCACTTTGTCTCTTCCACATATCTATCCTCTGTAATTAGAAAAAAAACAAGTGTCTAATTTAGTAGAGGGATAAACATTTTTGCATTTAAGTATCAAGTATGTAGAATTTGAAAGATTAAAAAAGCAATCATCATAATAATTTTGCTTTCGTAGATATACAGACAGGATTACAGATCATAACAGTTAAATTTCCTTTTCTTCCAGAGAGGGAGAAAAAGAAAGTAGTTTAAAAAAAAAGTAGTTTCAGAAATTAATATACTGTACTCATAACTTAAATCTCCATTTCCGAAAATGAATTGGAAGTTTGTCATTTTTCTTAGCAATACGATATTCAATATCTTTGTTAACGGCAATACATGTACATGCTTTATAACCGTAAAAGGTTGGTGGTTTATTTTTGAATTTGCAAACATACATGTAAGTATAATATTTAGGTAAAAGAAACAAATATATTAGGAATTTATCGACATTATAACTAAACATCTTTTCAAATGTTGAAACATTTTGTACATCAGGCTTTTTGGTTTCCTGAAAAATAACTTTCATATTTTCATCCCAAATGTGTTTTACAATAGGAAATTCAATAAAAACATGTACCGGTATATAGGTTTCAGGGGCATTAATTGTTACAAAGGGAACAGTTGGGGGAGTCCTTTCTTTTGATTTTATACAAAAAATCATTCACACCTAGTGCTTTAAGAAATAAATTTAAATAGAAAGAGTGCATACATGTACTTATGGTGGATTTAAAATTATTTACATGATTTTTTTCACATTTGACCTCATCAGAGTTGTGAAAATCATTCCTAAATATCATTTGTTTGTATGGAACACCTGGTTTTAACATGACACTGTATGCATATTTTGGAATTTTCTGAGTTTTCAAAAGTGTGGACTGTGGTTCTAATTTCTTCAATAATTTCATGTGGGGTTAAGTGAGACTAACCACTCATTTTGTTTATTTTTCACATTCAAAAGTTGCATTTCCTCCTGTCCTGTGCACTAATATCATAATCAAGAATAAGCTCCTCAAATAGTTTATTACCAGGGTGAGGAGGGTTGAGTAAATCACTAATAAACAGTTACCTCTGTCTAACCTAGCTATCCTGATATATGAAATGTTGCTTTCATTTTGAGCAAACGTTTCTATTCAACCAAATAAACTGACAAGAACCAATTGGGAAAAGGGTGAATCAAATTCAGCTTCCAAATTTTTTCCCCTAAATATATAACATGTTCGGAGAGACTTGGCCAATTGACTTGAGATTAATCTGTTAAGAACATATTCAGATGCATGTGTGTTCCATAGAATATCCTTACTATCACTAAAATTGTTACAAACAGAAATTTAATAGACTTCCACCAACTGTCATAATTATCATGAAGGAGCATTTTAACCCATGACATTTTTTGTGAAACAGACGAAAGTAGGGGTCAATCATTCGTAAACCACCCAAAGAAAATTCATTACACATGTATTGTCTTTTGGCCCTACCATTTCCACCACTCTATATACATCTAAACAACAAAGTATTTAATCGTTTGAAAAAGCTCTGTGGTATTTTAACACATAAGACAGAAGGAAGAAAAAAAGGAGTAGTGGCAACAATAGGGTCTTTACAACACAGAACTTCCCAACGAGGGATAAGATTCTACCAGCCAGCACTTTAAAGTCTTTTTAATGGATTTGAGTTTGGTCCTATGATTAAGTTCATATAGTTGATTTAAATTCAAAGAAAAATGGACACCTAAAGTTTTTAAAGTAGAGTTATTCCACTTTTAACAGTTAAGGAAATGCATAAGAGCCTTTCTTAGAACCAATCCATATTGCTTCTGAATTAGATATATTGAGCTTACAACCAGAGCTATCAGAAAAATTACCAATAGTGTCAAACAATCATCTAAAGGAGGTAACTGAGCCATTAATAAAAGATGTGGAATCATCTGCTAACAAAGATATTGTTATGTATTGCTAGAGGCATGAGCGTCCCTGGACGGTGTGTGGGCTCTATAAGTTTACACTATTATTACATTATTATTATATTTTCAATTGTTTAAACAAATTGTTGGCTTACACCCAGTAGATGCAGGTTCAAATCCCACTAGTTCCAAGATTTTTTCTGACTTGTTTTTTAATTACAGATCAATCAACCAATCTTTATTTACTGGGTGTTAGCCAGCAATTTGTTTAAACAATTTAAATTTCTCCCAGGAAGCATTACATTTATAAAGATATATATTATTTTCAACTGGTACTCCTTCGCTTTGAAAGTTTTGTCTAATAGTAAGAGCCATAGTTTCAATAACTAATAAAAACAAGTATGGAGATATGGGACTTCCTTGAAAAATATCATTTTCTCATGTTAATAGAATTTATCAAATTTCCATAATTACATACATAACTTTTTTGACCAGAATAAAACATTTATATCCAGTTAATGAATTTATTACTGAAATTAAATGCTGTAATACACCAAGAAGGAACTGATGAGAAACACTGTCAAAAGCTGTCTGAATGTCAAGCAGAACAATTGCACCTGGAATTTTCTTTGAGTCTGTATAAGATTCAATTTAAATCTGTTATCAACCAGAAATTGTTTCCAATATTCCTACCCTTTAAAAAAAAAGATTGGTCAGGGTGAATCAAGTATGACAGACATTTTTTCAAACGGTTTGCTAAAGTTTTGGCTAAAATCTTGTAGTCTACTGTTAATAAGGAAATAGGTCTAAATTTGGGTAGATAGGAAGTATCTCTATCTTTTTCAGGAATCAAAGTAATAACTCCATTCTTTTGAGAGGTAGACATTAGTCCATCCTGCAGAGAAGAAAATTTACACAAGTTTAAAAGCATATCAGAAAGGTCTTTCCAAAAAACTATATAAAACTCCACAGGTAAACTGTCCAGTGATGGTGATTTGTTATGACTCATTGAATTAAGTGTCTCCAACAATTTTTGCTTAGTAATGTGTTTTTCAAGAAAGTCTTTATGAACTTCATTTAATTGAGGAAGTTCAATGGAATCTAAGAAATTAACCATTATACCATCCAAATTATTATCATTGCATCTTCTCTTATACAGGGCTTGATAAAATGAATGAATTTCTCCCAAAATCGTTTGTTGATTTACAATAATGTCATTACTATCATTCTCTAATCTAAATATACTCTTCTTTTCTACAACTCTGTTTTATAAATTACAAAAATATCTGGAACTCTTCTTCAGTCCATTGGATTAGAGAACGAACAATAAAACCTTGGGTTTCATCATTTTTTTTCATTATTTTTTGTCAAGAAGCTCAGTATTATCTATATCTGCACCTAATTTGATATCTAAATTCTCAATATCTTTCAATTTTTTTTAAATATTGATAATTCTCGGTTTCGTTTTTTCTGGGACGCAATGTATATAAAAGAGGTTTTGAACTGTGACATTCAGTAATTTTGTTTCACCTTCTTTGAAGCTTGGATTAAAAAGAGGGATGTTTTCACCAAACTGATCTGATAGTAATGAAATAAATTGATAACCAACAA